TTTAGAAATCGATATGAGATTCAAAGTGTAAAAATGTCTAGTACTTTGAATGTTTTAGAAAATTATTCGAGATAAAGATGTATGGAACTACTGAAAATTACTTTAGATTCCTTTTCCTTATTCTGTACATTGTTTGATTGGAATATGAATGGAATTTTCACAGGACAATGATATAAATGGAACTTTAAAACTTTTTTAAGTGTTACAGTGATACTTCGTTATATGCAATTTTAAATTCCGAGGGAGCAAATGGGGAGCAATTGTTTAAGATAAAAATTGTTAAGAAATACTAATATTTCGCGCCAACTATTCTTCGGTCTGAGAACGATGAATTCGTGAATTACATTCAATCCCCTCGCTCTCAATTTCATACATATATGTATGTATATATATCTATACACATATATTTTCTATGCACAAAGTTATTTCTATTTTATGTATTAAAATTAAGCACAAAGAGTGCAAGTATGTATAATAAATTAATGAAGGTTACAATGAGTTGTTTCTAAGGATCCGGAACTAAACCGGAAGTTGTTGTGAATAGCTTCATATGTTTCATTCGTTATGTCTTTTCTGTACGTTTAATCAGCAACTAAATTAACATTCAATATAATATTTAAAATTTAAATATAGCACCTATGATCATAATTGAATAAGATATGTACGCAGTAATTTAAATATTACTCGGATTGAAAAAATATGTGTTGTAAAAGTTCGGGCATCTATGTATACATTTTGTGAAGCCGCAGCAATTGTGTTAACCAAAACATCAGGATTATTTTTACCAAAAATTCTCGTGAATGTAGTATCTTTTCACGTATATAGGAATTTTACATCAAAATTAATAGAAGCACGTGAATATCTGTCTCGAAACAGGCTGGCACGATGAATGAAACAGACAATTTTGATTCTGAATACTCTTGGATTGTACGAACTTGTATGAATTCTATTAATGTTTACCTAACTATGCTTCATTTCACTTTCTATGATAATGCTGTAAATGTACAACCAAATACTACCCGTATGTTATAAACACATTCATTGCGTAGTTTAAGGTTGCTACAAGGTTGTCAATTTCGAAATATTATCACTCACAATGAACGTAATAAAGTTGCAGAGGCATTGTCGTACCCGTTATTCATGGGTGTGGTGGATCTTCTAGTATATACCATATTGCAATAAACAGCAGATACACCAAGGAAAATTACGACCACAAAACCTAATTTTCATCTATCAAATCACTTTATCTGTATCTAAATCTTGTATTTTATAAATATATTTCAAACTCTATAATACCCGTTGCTGAAACCATTTCTATATTTATCTAGGTATTCATTATCATAGAAATCGCCACGATGATTTCTATCGTAATGTCCCCTGTAAGGATAATATAGTTCATAATCATAATCCGTTCGTCCATTCGGAAAATATCTGTAAATAAATAAATTGTCATTCATTTATGATTACCACGATGAAGACGTGTTTACAATATTACCGATAACTTCTCGAATAAGGATCATCGTAAGAATCGTCTTTGTAATATTCCCTGGATAATGAGTCTACATTATGACGGGAATGCCCAAATGATGGCACATAATTGTTATTACGACGAATAGTTGGATACAGTTTCTCTCTATGATAATGAATATCTTTTCCATTTCGATCAAAATATCGTCCCGCCTCATCTTGGAAGTAGTTTCTTCTGTCGTCTTTGTATCGATCATCGTGGTATCCTCCGCTATGATCGCGATAATCATGGTAACTGAATAGAGCAACAAAAGGGTATTGTCATTTTTTGTAGTCTTCTTCTCTTCCATACGTATAAATAATTATATTTGGCAACAGATAGTGACGCAATCTGTCTACAAATCGATAACTTACTCCTGCCTATTGTCATACGATCCCTGCTCCGCTCGGTCTCGTTCATTATAGGAGGCATCGCGAGCACCGTCCCTGAACGAGTCCCGTGATTTTTGCCCATAATAAACGCCGCCGTTCCCCGACGACCTATGGCCCCCCTCGTCGTCGCTGTCCTCGTAAAAGCTCGAGTTATTTCCCGACTCGTCCTTATGGTAGTTGTTGCTGAAACCGGTCCTGTGATGCCCTTTCTTGTAATATCCATTCCCGTGTCGCCCGAAAGAATTTCTTCCCTGATCGATGGCCTCGGACTCGCCCAAACTATGCCTCCCCTTGTCGTAGCCCTTCTGCGCCGTATCTTGCTTATCGTATCGTTTCTCGTCCTGCTTACGTTCGTTAAATCCCAGCTGTCCCCTGTTACGAGCGAAGCTGCCCTCTTTGCGTTTCTTCTCGTCGTCGAAGATCACACGACTCGAATCGATTTTCTTCTCTAGGATATCTGTCAAGTATGAGCCAGATTGTTTCTCGCCTTCCAGAAGAATGGAATCGGAGGTGCCCAACACGAGCGGTAGAAACACGAGAAACACTATGTTCCAAATTGGGGGCAACATTTCCAGAAAGTACCTTTTCGTCGACATTAACGGGGGGAAATTCGTCTACAGACTACCGTCGAACAGGTGGCGTGCATTTTATATAAAAGTAAATGTCCTTGTTCGAACGACAAAACTAAATGTATCCTGTGCACGGACAAAATCGTAAGATCCGTAGGATTTGCGGTTTGGCATGACCTTCGAGACGTTTCGGTACTACGCGTTAGGGTGTTCAGCTTGTCGGTCAATGAAGCGAAACAAATACGTTTATCTCGAAAGTACATCGAAATTCCGCAAATTTGTTGTGACAAGAGATGGCTAATAATTATAAACCCCAGACACTTTTTATTCTATTTAACCGTGGGCCAGTGGACGTTGGGTTACCAAAGACCCATGCCATAAGTCTGTCTTATCTCCAATTCCAAGCCATGTGTTTACAGTTTCGTTTCATCTTATGGTCTGGACTTGTTTTCGAAAAATGTGTATCTGACTTCAGTTTTACATCACTGCTTGCACAGCCAACATCGATTCTTCGGTTAACGCAGTTTTTTACGACAATATATTCACGAATATTTGCAATGTATCTGTAATATTAATGCAAAAATTAAAAAAATTTTTTACACGTTCAATTTAGAGTAAATATCGTTTGTTTGCACTTTGTTTATTTTTCTTACCTTGTATGATTACATGCAGACTCCTATGTCTTGAAAGAAAATGATTTATAAAATTATTATGCATTGAGAAATCTAATCGTTAAATGGCATCACTGAAAAATACAACATAAGATTTCCTTCCGTAATAAATAATATTAATTTTGGTCCCAATTGACCCGGCGTCCGCGGTGGACGGTGAGTGTTTCACAGTCCCGTTGTCTGAGGGTCAAAACACTTGTTACGTTAGAATTCTTTTAATGCGTTAAAACTTACAAATAATACAAAAAAAATTGTATTTGAAATAAATTAATTTATAGGTGCTATTTACAACTTACAAAATGGTATCAGAGGCACCTCTACGGTATAGTTGTCAGACAAAGGTGAAGGTAAGAAATATATAGATATTGTAAAAAATATTCAAAACTTATATTTTACGTCGTCTTCGTGGAAATTCTCGGTGCAGAATTGTACAAGACGCTTTAGTTATACTCTAAGTATCGTAAAGGGTAGGGTGGGAGGAGAAAAGAAGGTATGCGGTATTATAATACATCACTAATCGTCATCTTTGTGTTTCAAAAATATCGTAGCTCTTCTCTAAATAGTACTTTCACGCACATTCTCTCTCACACTCTCCATTATTCAAATTGATCTCTCTCGTCTGACCAGACAGCCGTACCAAACTATACAGTTCTGTAGATTTTGAACACAATTTAACGATTAATTTCTTTCAGTATTTTTTTCTTCTTTCCAATTAAAGACCCTAAAACATCGTAGTATATGCTTAGATACCTCAGACACGTGTTCCATTTTATTTTCTTTCTTGCATTTATAAATAGCATAAACATGTACAGTATTTCGCCGACTTACTGCGATTTCTTTCGTTCCCAAAAATAATAGTTACCATTTTATTATTTCCGTATATCGTTTTGTGCTCCTAATATGAATTTGAGAACGTTAACTCCGATCACGAATTAACGACACACCGAAAAATATACGAACCACTATTTCTTTCTTTTAGTTACATCGCAAAAATTATAATTGCCGTGGGTACGCTCAAGAAATACAGCTTTTTCTCACTCGATGACTCAGGGTGGCCACGTACTACTGAAACCTATAGAAACATTTACTAACAGCGCTAGCCCACCCCTCCCGTATCGTGGCAGTATGTAAAAAATAATAGAAGCACTTTACAAGCAAGTTTCTCGATAAAACAAAAGATACGATGCCGTAACCGTGTACCAAAAAAAAAAAAAACTTTTAACTGCTGGTAGACTCGTATTAAAATTATGAAGCAGCGATACGCCGTCTAATAAAAAAAGTTGATCTTTCACAGACCACCCCATTCATGGCGATGAATGGACGCTAACTTATTTACAAATGTCTATACGATTATCATACTTCCATAATTTATACTTACTCTGTACACGCGCGTTCTCAAGTAACTACGAAAGAATGAATATATTTACAGAATTTGGCGGTTTTTTAAAATACTTAAAAATTCATGCGATACAATATGATCGCAGCACGCTATTCACCAGTTGTGTATGGTTTTTTTTTTTTTTTGGTCGTCGACAGTGACGCGGCTTGCAGTAATGGAAGAAGTTCTGATCAGTTCCACACGTACTCGTCTCCATAAAAAATAATGTGGATTTACTGAAACGTCCGCCTATAGATCTCTATGAAATTATTATCCGATCACTGGATTCTCTTATTCCGTTCAACATAACCTCTCTGTCTGGGGTGCACGCTATTTGATTATTATTACCATTGGGAATCTTCTTTAGACTTCATTTTTCCATCCTTCTTATGATATAAGCGTGAATAGTCGTCCTGATAAGAGGTACATTGCGCGTTCGACTTGTTTGGTTTCTGCATGCTCGTACCAACCGGCGAATTACTCGGCGAGTATTTCATCTCTTGTAATTCTTGGAGTTCTTTCAAAGATCTCATCACCATCTGAACGTCCTTCTCCTGTTCCGTTGGTTGCACAGTACTACTTAGAGGTTCGTCTAGAACAAGTCCACCGTCTTTTCGTTTGTCCGTTACTCCTCTCGGGGTCACATCATCGTTAATGATTTGACTCAAGTAATTAGTCGCAGCAATCGTCTCCTCGTTTTGCCTTTGCTCCTGTTCTTCTTTCGAGAGAGATGGTTGCTGTTGTTGCGTAGGCACTACGTCTGAATTTACATGCCCCACTTGCTTTTCTATCGCTTTCGTATCCTTCTTTCTTTTCTTAGCGTCGTGCGATTTGTGCTTAACCTCGGCGCACCGTTCCCGTTTCTTATCCCTTTTCTCAGTCTTATTAACCACATCGACATCCTTGTCCTCTAACTTCTTATCATTTTTGGTTTCGGTGGTTTCATGTAGCAACCTGTGCTTCAAAGACACAGGCTTTCCGTGCGGATTTGTCTGGTTTGACGTAGGATAGATAGAAAGTTGAGATTGCGAGCACGAGTATGAAGCTTCCTGTCTGTGTACGGAATGATGTCCACTCTGAGGCACTTCATTTGTATTTGGAAGAACATTCGAGATTTCGGGATAAGCCGTAATAGAAACTACATCTTTTTTATTCTCATTCACTTTTGTAGATGACTTAAGGAACTCGTTAACAGGCGTGATAGAAAGAGAACTATTACCTAAGTCCATCAAATTAATCTTGTCTAGTTGACACTTAACCGGCTTTAAAGCCATTAACTGAGCTGTAGGCACAACAGAAATTTTACCCACAGTGGAATTATTGGTAGCAGCTGTCAAATTATCATGTTGCTGTCCCGAGTTATTTGCGTCTTTACTTTTCTCCTTATGTTTGACACTTTGTTGTTTCTTTTCGGAATTGTCGTTCAATTTGGGAATCCCTTGTTTCACGTAACTGGTTGAATTTTCCGCAACGTTTTGAACTTTAGATACATTTGCTGACACTTTTTCCCTTTCTTGCCACGGGACACTATTTACATTCGACGGTTCAACCTTTACAACTGCATTGAACACAACATTTCCAGCTGAACTGTTGGTGTTACCGTTTCCGACCTCTTTCAATTTCTTCGGTCTCTTCTTTGCGCTAGAATCAAATCATACAGTCGTTAAGAAACATATTTTTAATGGACGACTATACATCGCTAAAACCTAAAACGAAAATGGAATGAAGAAAATAAGGAGAAATTAAGAAAGCATTATCCAAGAGTAACCAAGATTTTAATAACAAATAATAAATAAGAGCATAATTTAAGCAATTATATGTCTGTACGGAATGGCTGAAGCGTAACAAAAATTAACTTGGCTATTTGGTTGCAACATTATTTACAGCGAATGCATAAATGTATTCTGTAATGAACGAACTGTTTTCTACTGATCCATTACTTTAACCAAGAAGTAGCATATATGATACTAATCCAACTCAATCACCTCCCTAAAACATATAATGACCACACAATAGAGCTACTAAATATATTACGGAATAAAAGCTACGCTTGCCTTGAGCGTTATTTACAAAATAAAAAGTTAAAAGTCAATTATATAAAGTAGACAGCTCTTTTAAAGGAAAAGCACATGCATATTTATATTTCACACTTGCTAATTATAGCATCAAGCTTGTCTTTGTCTATGAGTAGAAAAATAAATAAATGGTCACATTAAATGCGTAGTGGTACTTACACTGGTTCGGAATCATTAACAAATTTTAATAAAGCATGCGCCGTCATGTATCCATCCGGCCATAATGGTAACACTTGTCGTAGAAAGAATTTTACCACAAAATCATACATGCTCAATTTTCTCGGTCTTAAGATATTGTAACATTGTCTCCTTGCATTCGCGATTTCACAAACAAGTTTTCTGCAAAACAAAAAAAGTCACATAAAGTCACACCATTGCCAGATTATTTTTATGATGGATGAAATCGATATTGGAAAACATACTTTGCTTCTTCGGTCCACGGGAAACGTTTTTTCGGAATTTTCGCTTTGTCTGAATTTTCGCAACTATCTTCGTCATCGGAACTTTCAGCATCTGCAGGTGATCCTTCCGTTTCCCTGAAACGAAGATATTAATTACATATCAAGAAAAATAATAAAATCTTATGTGTATGATGTGACTATGATAAAAAGTGATAATCATTTATAATAATAAAAACATCGTGATGTGATGAAATCTTAAATAAGAATCGAACATTAATTCCTACGTAAAAATGTATATTGCGACACTTTTATTGAGTTCTATTAAATGTAATATTTCGTTGTTTCACAGAAAGGGTGATGATCATGGGAAACTAAACACTGACACTGATGATAAAAAGCCCCGCAATTCCTACGCTCTCTTTAAGATTAATAGCAAACAAATGAGAATGTAATGATGCCCTACTTTTTACATGTAAGGTGGTTAAAATCATTTTTACATATATGGTATGTTGAGTTAGCGGCGATAAGTATGCATGAATAGATTAAGGGAAAAGTAGATAAGATAGACGAAAAGGAAGATAAAGAACAATCGGAAAGGTGAAAATAGAAAGGGGGTTCCTCTTACGAGGGGCACCTTACCAACAGGACCGGTATATATCCCAGTATAAATGAGGACTAAGAAATAGAAAATTATAGTAAGTTCCCAGTCGAAATTATACAGTCAACTAATCTACGTTTTAAAGCTATAAAAATGTTATCTTTAATCTACATCTTTTATAGTATAAAACCCCAAGGAGTTAATACTTTTAAACATACTTACTTTCCTTCAACGACCTTTTGACAATCATCACGATATTTGCAAATCACAGATGGCATTATTTCGTCGATAACTTCTTTTAACCTAGAATAACATGACATATTGATATTCATATTCATAATTCTGATGTAATAGAATAACTACATGTATAAAATTATGAAGAATCCTTAATAAACCTAATTTGTAAAAATCCATTACCTTTGTGTAAGTTCCCTGACTTTGTAATCGAGATCCTGTACATACAGTTTCTTTGCTCTATTTTGAAGGGCCGTTTTACTACATGGTAAGAATCGTGCTAAATGTCCATTATAATCTCTTACCTTAACAATAATGTATTTACTGCTGTATTAAAGAATTTACTCTTTCCTTCTTTACTATTTTCGGCACATGCCTTCAATTTATTAACTATTTCTACAACATTCTCTGGAAGGGAATCAGGTAAAGGTGCTTCTTCTTTATCCATATCGTCGCACTCTGATTCGGTACCTATGCACCGAGACTTGCTAGAATCGGAAGTATCTCGACTCGATTCATCCTCCACTCTCGCTGCATTAACTACACTTTCTATCGCATCATCAATATTACTGTCTTTACCACTTAACTGTTTTAAATCTAACTTCTTTCCATCAAAACCATTACTATTCGATGATTGTTTTTCGAATTTTTTTATATCAAATTTTTTATCCGGTAGACTTTTACTCTTTTGTGTATCAATTTTGTCAGACTTCTTCTTCTCTTCTTGATCTTCTGAAATTAATATGTAAAGAATCTTGCGTAAGAATTATACGTTATCGTTAATATAAAAACTCGATTAATTGTATTACCTTCAACGTCCATAATATCTACTTTCTCCTTTCGTCTGTTCAAAGCATCTCCATCTTGTTGAGAATTTTGTTGCTCCTGCGGATTTGGTAGTTTCTTCTTTTTCTTGACAATATTCTCCTGAGTAGGTTTCTTCTCTTCGTTTTCATCTACCTTTTGTTTCTGCAAAATGACATAACATTTTTTAACTTAATATAACAATTCGGCAGAGCAATATTTAATCATAACTTCAGTTACTTTTCTTTGGTGATCACCAGTAATATCCTCAGCCTCATCTTCATCTGACGAACTAAGATTTCGTTTCTCTGATCTTTTGGGACTATCCACATCCTCAATATCTTCTTCGCTGCTTTCACTACTTTCTTCCTCGTTACTGTTATTATTATTATTATTGTTGTTATTGTTGTTGTTGTGAACCAATGAGTGTCGATCGGCTGCCCTGAATTCAAGAGCTCCACAGTTGATATAAAAACCTCCATGGGCTGTAGTCACCTCTTCCGGCACAAGTTCATCGTACTGTAATATTAAAATTATACATGATAATGCTAAGTATACAATAATTGTCTTGAGTAATAATATCGCATGTTCCTCACCGCATCAGTATTGTCGATGAAAGAATCATTCTCATCGTATCCAGCACCCAAATCCACATAATCATCGTACTTATTCCTTTTCTTTCCCATTGTGGATGTTCCCTATGTTAAACAAATATCTTGTAAGCAATAAATCAATTTTCATACATATACTGCTTTATTTGAATCATTAAACAATTCAAAGAAATACTGTTTTACGTACATATTTCGCTTCGAATTGTCTTGCCATATCTCGAAGCTTATCATCGTCGTCATCATCATCAAACTGTAATCCGTTGGCATTGTCCTGCTTAACTTCTTTCCTACGTTTTTTCTGTAAAATACACGTAAGTACTTCTCTATCAAACCAGAAGATATTATCTGCGATTGTAAGCGGATATCACCTACTGACCGGTACTGTAACGCGGTACCGCTTTAACTCCGACGCGTACTTTCACTATTTTATCAAAAATTCAGAAATGGTCAATGCACTGCGCATGCACACAATTCATCAGCTGTTTGCGTTCTACCGAGTTAATAGAACTCGAGTATTACGCGTGTCAATACAAAGAGCGTAAAACATTTTTACTCTCGTAAAATTCTGCGCCACTTTTATCAACGAAACGAAAGGCAAAGTATTTCGATTTTCAAACCTACATTATCATCTCATTAAAAACATAGAGCATTATTCATGTGCATCTTTTTTTTTTAAACAAATTATTAAACAACAATATAACACATATATAAATTAGGTTTAACATATTATAAATTTATTAGGCTTAATCATAAGTAATGCACTGTAATATTTTTCATCAAGAGACTATTCAGTTTAAATGTAAAAGATCTTTGTAATTTACTTGGTAAAAACATCACAGGATATTATTTATTAAAAACGGATAAAGTAGCTTTTGGTTCCACTAGAAACGAGTAGTGGATTTAGTAAAACTGAAGTAAGTTAGTAGATACACATTTGATGAATACACCTAATAAATACTAGAATAAATTAAGAACATTTCGAAGTATTTATTAATATATATATATAGACTTCAGGTATTTATAAAAATACTGATCGAATTCAATGCAAGTAAAGAAAGAACAAAGTTGATTCAAAAGAGAACATACGCTGTCCACTGGTACCAGGAGCATATGCTACGTGCAGAGCATAGCTCTTGCTCCTTCTGCCACGACGAGCAACTGCTGGTTGCTTTCTGTTCTCCTAGTACTAGGGACGCTACAACGAATGATTGATACCAAACAAAAATGCAATTGTCAATAAATTCAGACATGTGTACTTCATATGTGATAAAACAACTAAAAAATATGTTATATAAAACATCTATATTTGTAAATATTGTCATTAAAAAATACACACAACATTTAAGTAAAACACTAATAAATAACTTTCCATAGCTATCAGTATTAATGTTTATGTATGCAACTGTTTTCTTTTCAATGGCATTGAACTTATACATCAATGTCAATTATAAAAAATTAGAATTTCACACTTAATCTGTGAAATACATAGTATATATTCACGTCCACGTAAATATGAGAACTTCCGTACTGTTTCAATGATATATCGAAATTTATTTAAAGGAAGTGAAAAGTTCAGCATCAAAGTGTGACAAGTTTTACATTATAATCATAACATTCATTACGCGGACGCTCGTGCAAATGCATATTTTTCTACATAAATCGAAGAAAACAAGAATTAAGCAGAATTCCTCACTCTTCCATACGTTATCAGATTAAATGTAGAATTGAAATTCCAGCTTGTGATCGGTATTTTGAGTACACGTGTGTGCCCATAAATGCATAAAATTCGCCGTTATGAACATTTAAGAGTAATACCACGTTTATTTTGAATTTATATGGGACATCTGAACTACAGTAGTCAAACAATATAAGTTAAATGTGTACAGAAAAAATTGTTCATAATGAACCCAATAATCATAAAAAAAATAAAAACAATCAATTATTAATATTTTTGTCAAGAAAAATGCAAATTAGAAGCAAAAATCATATTTTCGTATTCCGTTAGTTATCCGTGTTTAAAAAGATTTCATCAATTTGAAAGAACAAAATTGTCATCACTTAATTAAGATTAAATTATATGTAAAGATACGGTTAAAATAAAAAGGAAACACGTAATCGAACAATGCTACAATTGCACGGCGTAAGTTTGTCGTAACGTGCCAACGTGTTCTGTGAACGTCGATGGGCGCGTGTTCCGTCTCTCCACATCGATCATAAAATTTAATATCGGGATTTTCTACGTACACGCATAAGATCGACGTGATAAAAGCCGTGCATAAAGTCGTGGCATATGAAAACATTTTAATGAAAGTAGCGCAGCATTACGAACGATTGAGAAACAACGTATGTACATATACGTGTACGTGCAACAGTCACGTCGTCTCAGGGAGGTTGCAATGCCGGACTGTATCGTCGCGAAACAGTAAACCCGTGTCTATTTTATACACGCCGAACAATGATTATCGTGAAAACGATTGTTAAACGTTCGTTGGTAACATGGTCTCTCGATGGAAACTTCTAACAGACGGTGCCTGGTGTAAGCATACGTTAACACGGACGTACACCGGCAACGCGTTGTGACGTTTCTATTCGATGGCTTCGAATTGATCACACCTTTTTCTGCCTAGGCTATAGATACAACAACGGTACTCCTTGGCAGAAAAAAACGTAAAAAAATAGAAAGAGATTCGCGACTAAGAAACCCATACATGTACCGCGAGAGAGACATACGGATCTCAGGTGATAATAGCGACATGACAATTCGCCTGAGCGGCGCGCACGAGTTCCCCTCGTTTCGTGCATCACGAAAATGGTCGATCCCATTGGAATTTTTGCAGTTTCTTGTCAAAGTAGGTACGCGAACCAAAACCGTAGCCGGTGTTTGTCTCGGCCTGTCGAGATGTTTTGACGAAAGGGACCGTATGGACAGAACGTTACGAGACTTTTTTGTTTTCCTCCGGTGTATATGGATTAATGGGTGAAAGGAAGAAACTGACCTCGGCTGCTTTGAGGAGCTGTGCATAGTTGAACTCAGGACATGCCTTCTCGTTCGACTCTAGCAGGGTGAGTGTGAAGCGGTGGGAGGGCGCGAGCTGTTTGCCCTTTTCCCCCTTTTTCTCTTTCTTTGCGGCGTAGCCCAAGGACTCCGGAAACTCCAAGGTCTGCAATGGTACACGTTTAGCCTCTGACATTCCTACATCTGCACCAGACTCAACGTGGATCACGGAAACACTGCGAACACTGCGGCAACAACATGGTCCTTTCTCTTAGACACCGCACCGACACCGCCACTCGCACGTCGCCATGTTCGGCTCGACTGTTTTTAGAGTGCGCTGTTGATGCCGCCGCCACACCGTGAACTCCACGCATGCGCTCTGTGCGTTGCAAATAAGCTTCCGCTACGTTTACATGAGAATTGCCGACGATATTTCGCAATTGAAAACAGCCACTTTACCGTTGCGATAGATTATTGGTTGTTTCAACAATAATCATGTTACGGCAATTGTTTAATGACGTCACGATACGACTATGTTACTGACTATTAGATGGTAAATTTTATGTATTTTTAAGATGAACGATTGTCTACTCACTAAAGTAAAATGGTTAATCAGATTAGAAATGTTTATGTCAGGCTGTATAGAATTCGTAATAAAATGAACAAATTTCTGTTTTCCTCGTTGCTGTAAGTAAATTCATGAAAATCTACACCTACTAACATAAATGTATGCAGTCTAGAAATTAGGTTTAAGTATCTTATTTATTGTTAATTCATATTGAGTACCAATTATATCATATATATCATTTATTGTGATATATCAATATAATCTTTACAAATTATTGTAGTGTCTATACAATCTATCTATAAAAAATCTATCTTTACAGTTATTATAATAACTTTGTGTCTGTGTATAATTAAAATTTCATTCCAAAACTCACATTCCAATGCCTGCAATGGTAAGATCTGGTCAGTTCTGACAATTATAAAATATTTAGGTAAAATAAGGGTGCTCGAGTAATACCCGTAAACATTAAAAATGCACAGTCTATGTATAAAATTAAGAGCCTTTGAAAATAATGCTCAGTATAACTTCTAAAACTAACTTAACCAGGGGTATTTGGATCATTTTCAAGATTTCCCTGTTGCTTTGCAATTTTAACTGCTGAAAATTGCTGACCTAAAATCTTCATCACTTCTGCATGCCTTATATTACGCTTTTTCTTTATAGTATTGTAATTTTCTTTCACATAAAGTGCGAATCCATTGATTTCTCTCTTGGGCGTTTGTACTTGTACAGTTCCAGATTTCGTAGTTTTATTCAGTAGTAATTCAAATTTACCGTAACAATGGCCACATCGTTTTTTCTCAATATCCAAAGACTTAGAATGTCTACCAATACTGAAATAAAATTTTTGCATTGTACATACATTCATGTATTTAATTATATGTAATTTTGTAAACCTTATGTAGAATAATGTACCTGTATCCGCAGCCAACACATTTATATGTAAATTTAGTTTTGATTTTATAGTCATGGCACCTTCGAATTGGTGGTAACTCAGGAAATGTCTTCATGGCCTTATTAGCCCTAGAATGTGATATATTATTGTCCTTTTTCAAAAATATAAAAATAACAAATAGTACATATTACTAATATATACCATCCTGTCCAAAAAGGACCATGTCCATCAGACACACTGTTTATCAACCATGCTGCTGCATGACACATTTCATGAATTAAAGTGTCTCGAAGTCTATCTGGTGTATCTAAAACCTATACAAGAAATAATGGTCTTAATTTACATTTTCAATTTTATTTTTACTAACATACTGGCACACCTTCGTCGATAGAACTATCCTTGATGATCTCATGACTCCTCCAAGTGTTCTCACAGACTTCTTGTTATAGCAATAACCGGCCGTTCCTCTCATACGGACGTTCCATTCAATGCTCAGGTCCTTTGGTAGTTGTGTATCAAACACTTTATCATTGTATAATTTATATAAATATTTGCTCAAATCTTCTTTATTGTTTTTATAATTTGTTCTATATTTTTTAGCATCTGGATGTGCATTGGCAAGAGGAACATTTTCAGATAAAGATGCTAGAAAGCTTTCATTTTTCTCATATTTTCGAATGTCAGACGTTGGTTTAATTGCAGTATATGTTTTAGGTATTTGCCGTGATATTTTAATAAGATCTATGAAAATATATTACAGTTTTATAAATAACACGTTACATGGTCAATTAATAACTATATATTTATATTACCTTTTCTAGTTTTAGATTTTATTGGTATGTCATCACCAGGATCAAATTCGCTAGTACTTGATCCATCACTATCATCTGCACTAAAACACAATTTTTTTCTCCTTAAATCCTGTGCTTGATTATGATTGTTATCTTCATCTTCAGTATCTGAATCACATATTGCAATAGCTCTGGAAAATATTAACTTTAATTATTAAGAAAATAGATTCATTTAAAAATTTTAAGGAAATATTTACTTACTTTTTTATAGTTGATGGAAGTTTTGGTTTACGTTTTGTGCTATTTGTCGATGTTCTTGGATTTGTGAGTGCAGTGTAGTACGAACTTTCACATTCACTTTCTGATAATATTTCATCGTTAATAAAACTATCTTTTTGCTTAACATTTGTAGGAGCATTCTTTTTCATTATACATTTTCGAGATTTCAAATCTTCTCTGGCTATATCATTCAAGTAATCATGTTAATGAAAAACACAGTGCAATAATGATGATAGAAATTATAATGTAATTACTTACATGGACTTTCATCTTCTGATTCTGATGTATAAATCTTTTGTTTGTTTTTTATTTTTCTGAAATAAACATTGTAGTACTTTACAATCAGTTATAAAATAACAAATTGTATTTTTAATTTACCTTTCAGTTTGAACAGCTCTGCTTTTTGTAGGAACTATTTGCTTTCGTGGTTCAGATATTGGAAACAGTACACCTGCCTTTTCCCTCCATGATTTACCATACAATTTATCCAATATATCAGCACAGTCTGTAACATCTACATTCTGTGGTTTATTTGTTGTGGGAGTGGAAATCCCATTATTGTTAGTGCGATTATTTAATGTACGAAGTTCAAGGGCATTATTTTTCGATCGTTTTGTATAGTCAAGAATCGTAGTTTGTCGTATTGCCGGAGATTCAATTATTTTATTGTTCTCTTCATTTATTACTCGTTTTTCATTCGCTAACGTTTGACGTATTTTTTCTCTGTTATTTGGAGTTTCGTAATTCATTTCTAATCTTTCTAGACTACTATTTCCAGAACTTATATCATTCTTATTACTAGCAGGTACCATACTGAAGGAAGTATCACTTTTTGAATCAGGAGAATTCGTCATCAACCACTCTGATATTTGTTTCTTTTTCCTGTCTGATAATGCAGTGCACATTGTGTCTACATTCTTATCTACATGTGAAGCATTAAAATATTTATTAACATGATTTTTATACAAATTGGTTGAATTTCTTTGGGTGTCTGAAATAACATCACTTTCAGAATTTAGGGTTTCATCGATAATTATATTAGTTTTTTTCAAATTGTTTTTGAGTGAAATGGCTGGGTGCATGCCACTGTCAATACTTTCATTGATTATTACATTATTCTCTCTTCTTGGCGATTCGTAAATTATTCTTGTTGATTTTATAGTTTTCATAATATTTTGAGCATCTTTTTGTGTAAGTTTCTTTTTACCATCACTTTGACACTTACTAGATAAAGCTTTAGAGGCCTGGTTAGTGCTTTTTGAACTCTTGGAGCCGACACTACTACCAGCATTTTGCAATAATAAATTTCTTTTATTTACTGTCTTTATGTGCAATTGAGTATTGGATTTTGATGTAACTCTAACATTAGAGTCTGGACTATAACTAAAATAAGTACTTTTAGTTTTAATAGAGCTTTCAATACATTGTTCACTTTGCTCACTATTGCTGATTGAATTATCATCGTCAGATGTGAATAATGCATTATGTTTTCTTGTAATATTAATTCTATTTTTATTATTGGCAATAAAATTAGGTTTCTCATTCTTTCTCCATGATTCAAGGTATTCTTTTTCTTGAGTATCAGAGGAATCAGAATCAGAAGTATGCACAATACATACTTCCTGTTGTGAGTTAAAATGGTTTTTGGATTTATATTTTAAGTTAGAAGAACATTTAGGACTAGAACATTCAGAACTAGAGTCACTTATCACTATAGTGTTTTTCAAATCATTTATGACTACATCTTGTGAATCGGATATAGCAGAATCCTGAGATAACTTCAAACAAAAGTCTTGTGATTCGCTTATAGATGCCTGTACTTCCTTATCAGGATACATTTTTATATTTTCATGCTGATTATACCTTTTCCACCCTTCTACTTTGTTTTTTATATTACACAATAGATCATTCTCTATAAAAAGGAACATACAATTAAAAATTCAAAGTTCTAAGAAATCTTAAATGTACCATTATATATCTGGCTCCCATTGGAAAAGTTATGAAAAATATATATATGTAGACTTCAGTGTAATAATTATATAAATTAATCATTGAAGAAATCAATGGGTAAGTTTCAAGTAGTTTGGTATCAAGTATATCAGAAAGTACCATAAAATTGTTAAAATATTGGTATAACAGTCAATAATCCATCCATTAATTTTACATTTAATTGATATAATCGGCATCTTTTTTATAACTTTTCCATCAGAGAATGGATATATAATTATAGATTTCAAATGAATTGTTCTCTACTTACCGTGATTAGACATCCTATGCAAGTCGGTAGGCAAATTCGGAGTAAGTTCTCACGTTGTACTTTATTTTACTGATACATCTTTAATAAAATTAAGTAATATAAATAGATCAGTAGCTCCTTAAAAAAACAAGATATAGATATTGTCACAATGTGTACTACACTTTCTCGTTACAAACTGGAATAAATCACTGGGGTACACGAAGGACAAAACTCCAAACAATAACAAGGTGACATTTCACGAAATCATGACACATAATTTATAAAAATTGAAAAACAAGCTGTCACAGCATTTTCGTTCGTGTATATATTATACTTTAAAACAATAAGATTGTGTTTAAATAAACTTTGTTTCACAAAATTATCGGATGAAAACATTCAAGGCAAAAAATCATGCAGCCACTAAAGTTCAAACATTTCGTCCGTTGAAGTGTTGACGCAGTGTAGCCAACTGCTGAAACGTAACACCAAACTTTGACCAAATAGAAACCATAACTATGAAAGTTCGAAAGTAGGTATCAAATCAATTAAAATACTTACTGTATATTCTGATTATAAACAATTTAAAAGTCGGGATTTTAAAGTCGGGGGGCTTAGCTCAGAATTATTGCTAACCGTGGATGAGTAACAGGCGGGAAAGTGGTGTGAATTACACCAGCTTTTTGTCATGAACAATTCTCTGGCCTTAATCCAGGTGTTGGCCCATAGGTGTTTTCGCGAGTTCCAGGGAAGTTCGTTTAACGGCAGAGAATTACGCTACGAGAACACTTACGATGATAACGGCTGTGATTAATAACGGTAAAAATCTCGATAAGAATAGTTCGAGTCACGAGTAACTCGCTTTCAGTGATCTCGAACTTATTCTCAAGAACCGATTGCATTGATTGGATCTAAACGTTGCATCATGGAACGTAGATTTTTTAATTCACTGAATTCAGCTGAAACATTAAATTTTCTTCAGTTATCAAAATGGATTTGAATGATTCGAGTTGTCTTATCAGGTTGAGTGGCAGGTGCGTTTCCATTTAGTCAGAAGAACATCAGTTGTTGTTGCTTGAATATAAAACAGACCTTATCAATTATGTATGCACCGTTATATTCTACTATCTCCTGTCTTGTCATTGCTTCTGTCGTGTAGTTTGTCCTTTTATTATAAATATTCGACCACATGTATTCTTACCTTTTCTGTTTTTTCAAGTTAATTTTCAGTGGGACAACGGCCGGCGGGTATCATGAGACAAGGCATCTCAATTAAGTTGCGATATTTCTGCTGTGTCATCGAAGAAACGTGTCTACGGTTTTTTAATTTAAGTCTTTTACGCGGGGTAATAAAGTTTTCTCTGTACCTTGTTTAAACAGTAAAAACCAACAGACGGAGACCGTAATCCTTTCAATTGGCTTAGTGAATAACGGCGAAGCTTCATTAAATCGGCTTTCGTTTTACGTTTCTTTCGTAGAAGTTTACTACTGACAAGGCAGAATACCAAGTAACCTTCTACTTCTTTATCGACTCGTTCACTTCAATTGAAACTTTCTTGTCTTCTTTAATCTCTTTACACTAGAACTATCAAACTTATGAAAATGACGAATTGCAGATTTTTTACTTTACGATTACTGATTATAATAATGCTTTTGGCAGGATTTGTTTAATTTAATTTAATATACATTCATCGCTGGTAGTTCTAGTGTTAATCCATCGAAGAATCGTTTAATTTCGGCTTAAGGATTTATTCTACCAAGAAACAGACGTTTCAGTTATATACGTTTTCGTACTCAATTGTGGAGGATAATCATAAAAAATATTGTCCAATATTTGTCAAAAAAATTATATCCTAAGACTTTGTTTATCCTGCAATAATAAAAAAACCCGCAAGACCGTTGTCCCAACGAGCACCTTGATATATTATTTTCGAACCGTTCTGACGAGAAAATGCTAATGTAGATCTTGGCGCACGCTTCTTTCCTTTTATCCATTTTTCGTTACCACGCGCAAGCAGCGTTTCCATATTTTGCATCTCTAAAACGCCTCGAGAAATCTGAAGGTACGAACGGAGGTTAAACGCTATGGAACGAATGCAATAAGATTTTCGATTAGAATCGCGGAATGGGCGGAAGTTTCGAACGGATTTTCGACGTATTTCGAAATTAAAGATCCGTATTTGTGGCAAAACGAATAGAAAACGAAGATTCGGATAAAATGGAACTGGGAAAAGAATTCGACTGAAAACGATTTTAAGATCGCTAGACAGCCGATTTTTATGCAGAATGATATTCTATAAAGTAATTCACAAAGACAGGAGCAAATGTAGGAGTTTCTTTCTTAAGTACCTACCTTACTGAGTTCAGAATAAAATGAAAAATTCGTCGCATCGGATGAAAGTTCTATCTTTTATCGTATTTTATAGGCCTATAAATGCTCAGGATCCGCAGTTTAAAGATGACTATTAGTAGTATAAAGCAACATTTAATACAGCCACACGTATCTGTTACACAATCAGTGTACAATTATTCACAACTCGGAACACTGTATTTACACCTTTAATAATTCACAATTCCACGCATTTAGGTCTGTACCTTGGTTCAATCAGAAGCCTCCGTCAACCCTGCTGGAACGATTATTAGGAACGATGAAAGCGCAAAATCTTTTTCGAATGTTAACGTCTACGTCAATAATAATAATAATACCGAACACGTTTACACGATATAAACGACAATATCGACGATACAATACAATATCGATGATCGATATCCTAATCGGTCGTTTCCGAGACGAAGAAATAGGATTTCGTCGACGTTACAACACATTTTACGCTTCTAGCTGGAACAACCTGCCAATATCCCGATCCATTATCGTCGTTTTAAAAACTCCCCGCTCGGCTGGAAATATCGTTCGGAATATCGTGGACGGGATGGTGGTCACGAATCCTCTGGAATTTATACGAAAGGATCATCCACAGTTTCACCGTATAATTATAATGTTCTATTAAAATTCAGCTCGTAATCGTGAAAGTTAACCGTTAACTTACCACTTGTCGCATAGTTCGCCAACACGCAGGAATATCTTCGTTCCATTCCATATAATCTCTCTCGCTCCCTTTTTACCATTTCCACGACGAATCCAACCGTGAAAGTGCTCGAGACGTCTAGGCATCCTCTCGATCGATCCTGGGGGTCATGCATGTGAGGTCCAGTTTTTTTTGCTAGACCTTAAGCCCATGTAAGAACTTCGAGGGACACGTAAACCCTTTCTCCCGACAGGATAAGTCCGGGGTTTTAGGGGTGGTGTGTGTCGCATCTGAAGGGAACCAGAACTGTCTTAAACGGCTTACACCGTACGATACTTTCGCGATAACGTTGTTACAATTAAAAGGACATCGTTCGTATACTGGTCACATTATCGGGGACAACGTCGAGAACAGTTCGATTTTTTGTTGTATTTGCGTTTCGTCGAGTCTCTTATCGCTTTCACTAACTTCGAGTCCAGAACCGTTGGCGGTCAATTTCGTGTCCCCAATCGCTAAAATTTAAGTCCAAACGTTTAGCTTCACTGATCTTCCATGACGATCGAGCGGATCAGATGTGAGTCTCATTCACCGCCGATTTCATCGTGTCGGATGTCACGTATCTGACACGACCGTTCTTCTCGTGCACGCAAAACGATAGTTTTTTTGGCGGCAAACGTTCAACGGGGATCCCACTGTCCATACTTTTACGGCCGATCCGCGAATCGCTCGTTCTTACCATCGGTCGATTCTCTTTGTCTCCATTGTCCGTGCGTAATTGACCCACTGCGTGCAAAACGGTCCCCGGTCCGATCGACGTGTTGTATCTGCAGTCACATGGAAACGCAAAACCGTGAGCTTTCCGCCTTTACGCGTAAAAAAAGCGTGCTGGTATTTTCTGATAGGCGAAACGGGGCAATTCGGTGGAAGCTTTCGAGCGGAACTTCGTACATATTGGGTTGGCCAAAAAATAATGTAGGAGGTCCACGGTAAATGATGTTCTTCTTTTTTTGGTTTTCTATACAAAACGCTGCTTCTAATTAAGAAAATATGTACGTATTCTGAATGCTTACGCTTGAACGTATTACTTAAAAAAATGTATATTATTACGAGTGAGTTGAATTTTCTTAAATTGAGTTTATGAAAATGAACGATGAAAAAAGATTTCCTCTGTGCACAGTGACGGTGCTGTGAACGAACGAAAATTAAAGGGCATAATTGCGCCTAAAGTGCAACTTCTCGTCGCTTAGTTTCAAAAGGAGGTCAATTCAAACTAATTGGACCCAATTATAATGATTTTTTTTTAAATAACACGTTGAAATGCCAGCTTTCAGGATATGTACATATTTTATTAGTTATAAACATTGTTTTGCTACATCGTCTATTATAGAAATTCGACATTACTTTTGGGCCAACTCAATACAAGGTGTTTCATGACACGTGGGACTGACTTCAGCATTTGGGACACAGGAAAGATGAAAGAAAAGTCAAAAGAACAGAAAAATATTGCCTGGAATTTTTTTCATTTAACTCAACATTTTTATCAGACGTGAAGATAATGTACCTGTTTCGTGGTGCATCCTATTGAATATTTCTTCATAGATCGTACACATTCAACGAGAAAATGAAAAGGCAATTTCCGTCCGGCTCTACTTTACCGCAGCCTTCCATGAAACGATAAACTACAGACGAACGAAGGTAAATGCGTGGCTTTGACGGCGAGTGGTTGCGTCCAGGACACCAGTTTTGCCCGGGGTAGCCATAACAGTGGTTCACGGCGCGTGAAAATAAAATTAATATTGGTCTGATGCACATGATTCTGCAGTTTCGAATGGGAAAACCCAATCCAAACACAATTTTGAATGTCGACATACTCATTATGCTGGTTTTCCTAAATGATTTCTCTTCACTAAGTCTAATTATAGAATTACTAAGAACTACTTATTAATTTTATATAACATAAATTCGCATAACACGGTAATTTCAGGATCCCAACCAAGGATGTGTTATACAAAGGATGACCTGAATCTAAATAAAAATGAAGGTCGACCGTAAATTTTGTTATGCTTGATTTTTTTTCTCATAGAAAATCAGTTTTTAAATTTTCTACCCCCTGTCGCCTGTACAAAACGAATCTAGAAAAACCCTGCAGACTTGTACACGAAAAACGACATTATTTTTTTCCCTCTGGCCGTTATATCTCACCGGAGGAAACGTTACACACCTGCGGTCGCCCGAGAGTCGTGTGCGTCCGTCCAATAGAGGGCAAAGCAGAAACTGGAGGCGAAGACCCGCTGGGTCACGGTGTCTCGTATAAACACTAGACAAATTAACAAGCATTTCAGCTTACCTGATGCTCCGTTGGTAATTCTCGTTCCTTCCGCGGAACACCTGGGATCCCGTTCTGGTACCGAGACCGCAACCAGCGCTCGAGTCCCTCACGCTGCTTAGGTCGGTTCTCGTGATACGTGGCGTGGCTGGGTAACAGCAGAGGGTTTCCCTGAACGCGTTCCTGTATTTCGCGCTCATCACATTGTACAGGATCGGGTTCACGCTTGTGCTGAAGTAATAGAGGCAACCGCTGAGCAGAAACAGCCAGGTGTGTATGTCGGCGACCGATGACCATTCGAGGTGCACGTACATCAGCCGTTGACCGTGGAACGGCGCCCAACAGATGACGAATGTGATCACGACAGCACCTGTGGACAAAAATGAACGGTTATTATGTGTACTACGGAATCATAATTAGCCTCCTCTTAGGGTAATAATACACTGGAGAACGTGTAGGGTGAAGTAGTAAATATAAGACCATTCCTAATATGAGACCCCAGAACAATTTCAAAAAATGTACCACTAGGAAATGCTACGTTGCCTCAAGAATAAAGACGTTGTTCCTTGATTCTTTCCTGGAGGATCGGGCTATGGAGTTGGGAAGACTAAAGTGTGCCTTCTGGTGAGAGGACTGTGTTGGACCGCATGGCGTCTGCTGCAGAATCTCTGAGGAACACAGTTCTTATTAAAAATCGAAGCATCGGTAGTTTCTGACAGATCAATGCGCTGGAACATCTGCCATCCCTATTCTCTAGCTGCACGACGCTACTTCGGTACAAGACGACTACTGTTCTTCTGATCTTGGGAAGCTGCTGACAAGGGCACTTCAGTGACCCGAAAATTTTGATCTTTTTCATCTTTACGGGTTTGTAGGGGACCTCGATAGAAGTATCAGGCAATTCGTTTGTTTATTTTTGCTAGCTTTCGGTTCTTCAAGGGGAAAACAACCCTTAATGGTTAAGAGCGGGGTCACACGAGCGTGGAAGTAACGGGCGTTACGACGGATGTGACAACGTCCGGTGCTTTAACGCTCCTGTGACCCTGTTTTTCTGTACGTCTTGAAAACTAGAGTACATATAACAAAAATTGTTAGAATGAAAATGTAATGGCTCTGTATGCTCTGTAAAACTGTGCAATAAGTGTTTAACATTTGTTTCTTTATTTATTTATAACAGTACTTATTCCAGGTACATAAAAATTCTGATCTCCGAAATCAAGAAATTTTATTGTGGTGCACGTGGTAGCAAATAAAATTTTGAATAAAAATGGTGAATTTCGGCAGAGTTACGTCACTTTAAAGCGACCGGTTAAAATGCATGGAAACTTCCAAGGCAACGTGACAGAATTTTTAGATTAAATGTTTTCCTTATAATATTCCTTTTTTCCTTTCTTTAAATAAAAGACGCGACTGTACTGGCAGATTCGATTACGATGACAGTTCTAAACAGTTTGTTAGTTCGTTAAGTTCCAGAAGTTCATGGAAGGCGTTGAGTTGGACACCTAACGTAGCGAGGGCAATTCATTTTCATCCGCATGTGCCATGCACAAAGTGTGTCCGTTCCAAAGTTAGATAAAACAGCTGCAAATAAATACAGACGAATTACGCAAACTGTTCCGGTCGATAAAAGTTGAAATGGATTTTTCGTGCTGCTTGTATGTGCGGAAAATGCTCGACACTTTTTTCCATGTAAAACTCGATTAGTTTTCTCTCGGGAACAGTAAACTCGTGCCACTTATGATTGAATTTAATTCCAATTTGTTCGCGAAACTTGCTGTCAGTTTTAAAGTTAGGAAAACAATGAATAATATCCGATCTCAGACCTAGACTGGATATATTCAAATTACTTAGTATTCGCATAATTATTTGCTGTGTATTATATTGAAATTGTCTTCGATACGGACACATTGCACTGGTATTTGCATATATTATTCAAAATGACCACCTCATAGGCGTACTTCCATTGACCAAATCCACTGAATTTTGGCAAGATCATTGTAGATGCTAACAATATCATTTCAGTTCATATGTCGATTGTGGAACTGCATAGACCTATAGTTTGTAGTATGACCTTCTTTGTTTCGAATAATCCTCCATACATGCTGGTGAAATTCGTCGGTCTCGTTACAGAACACCGGGTATACAACGGTATTTCCTATCTTGAGTGTCCTCTATTCTCAACATAATCGTTAATTCAAGCTTTCTGCCCTGTGTAGTAGAAACTTTTATAAAGGTCAAAAGTGTTCGCACTTAATGAGTGGGATACGGTGTTTAGATTATTATGTTTAAATTATAGGGATACGTGAAGCATCTTTGAACGCGTCCGACAACGCGCCAGTTCGTGCTTTGTTCTGACCTTTCGGTTGTCGCGATGTTGGCGGGGACATGTGAAAATTGTCTCCCGCCGTGAACGGTGATCATCCGCTTCGACGAGGAACTATCACATAAATGATGGAACGGTGGGTTCCTAATCAATTTCCAAACATGTTCGCCGTTAATGATGATCTACGCGCGAATAAGACGTGGCGTCGAGTAGACGATAAAACACACCCATTGTTCACCGTAATATCGGACGCACGCGACAGAATTCGCGTTCTTTCGCGTCATGTTTAATTCATTTTTCAAAGAAACGGAATAGAAGATCGTCGAAGGGAATTCACTCAAGGAAAATTCACTTACGGAAACGTCCGCGTACCGTTTTAGTCAAGGACTGAATATTTACCGAGCATACGGATGATGGTTTTCCGTGACTGTGCCTGTCTAGTTTCCCCGTGGACAGAACCCTCAACGCTGTGCTCGAGGCTGCTGTTTTGTATTCGCAAGCCCATTCGCACGTACAGCACAGCTATGAATGCCATCGGTAGCAGGAAGAAGACGAAGCAGCTCAGCTCGTACAGCGGGAACTCGGGTATGTTTTCTTTCTGCATCATGCACATCGCGGAATTCTCAGAGTAATTATTGGACCCTGAAAGCAAAGGTACCGAGATAAAAATTTCCGGGAACAGATGGGCCCATTACATTATCTAGACTGCGGATTTTATGCATTTATGGATCATCCGACGGTCCAAAATTGAAGGCATCAAAGGGTGAAGAGGTTATGTAACATTTTTGTGAAAAGTGAATTTTCTCGGTGAACGGAGGTGCTATGTGGAGTTCTTTCACATAGGACCTTGTTCCACTTTGTCATATCACAAAATTGAAAACATAAAAAGATGATGAAGGACGAGTGTAGGAGGAATAGAATTTAAATTTAGTCTACTAAAAATTTAATATTTTTAACGTAAGTCATTCATCTTGGGAAGCCTTCAATTCTGTGTAGTAAAGGTTATAGATTTTCTTTTCATCTTGAACCTATTAGAATCCTTAACCCTTTAGCTAAACCTATTCCTAGATAGTACAGAGGATAGTGTATACCTATTATTATTGTTTGCTATGGTAACAACGGTGAAATGTTTGTACCATGCAGTAAACAGATGATCGCAACTACTGTTGTATGGAAGAGAAACACTATGTATCTATAATGTGGCGTCCTAAACAATCATTTCGCAGGAAAGCCAGCAGAAACTCCGGCGTAGACGAGCGATCCGATGTCATTGCGATTTTGTACCGGTGTTGTTCTGTGCGATTCGGCAGGTTTATCTAATGATATGATGCACACAAGCGTGTGATCCCATTACGATATCACAAGTGACGAAAGAAATCGCAACGATTTCTTTTCATCTTATTTTAACTCGATAAACATCGTGTACAAGTTCACGTTCTGTTTCGTGTACGAAATAAAAATCGCCTTTATTGACGCTACGTTATCGGTGCAATATCGCACCTACGTCGCGTTGCATCGCTGGTCTGCACCGAGCCTAATTATTCCTATTTTTACCCTACAAAGTCATTACTAACTCTTTGCACTCCGAGCAATTTTTAATATGAGCAACCAGCTACTCCAGGACTATTTAATTTTAACACACAATTATACATGCAATGTAGCACTAGAGGCCCCCATGGAAACGTGAAGAATATTTTAATTTTTAAATGTATAAAAATACAAAGTTGCTTCTAGATTTCGCAAAGGGCTAATGGAAATAGAAAATCCTTTTTCTAAACGAGTCTGTAGAATTATGAGTTTGCATAAACGTCCACAGTCTAAATAAGATTAAAACAACAGATAAAAAAAATCTGTCGAGGAAATACAGATGCCCAAACCCAAATGAACGGTAGCGAAAAATGGTAGCGTCATGTGCACGGTACCTAGTTCTCGAATTTCAAAGCAGCCATCGCGCAACGCGTTCTGTTGCCTTCGATTCGCAAAGGCATTCCTATAAACGCCATTCTGTGCATCGTTTTTATCAATCAGCAACGACGTTACCGTAGAAATACTGAGCGAGACCCGTATTAATCAATGTAATGGGACATGTAACGCGTCCGGAAACTTTACTCGTTACGCGTGTCATGGGAAATCCAGTGCAGGCAGCCTCCGGACAGTTGTTTAAATTTCTGGTCGGCGGAAACTTGTAATGGCATCGAAAACTTCTTCTCCAACGACCATCTCGGACGGAACGAGCGAGCACCGTGTGTTCAGTATTCGCAGTCGACAATAGTACTCGGCGTCTTTTTTTCTTGTCAAGAATAAAGGACACTCTACACTGTTTTAAACGGTCAACAAAGTGAGAGGAGCGCGCTCTGTGAAATTGGACGCGAACACGGGACTTCCTACAATTATCCCGCGAAATACCCGGCCGGCTAAACTGAGCGATGAGAGCGAAGGACGGCGATTATACAGGGTGATCCAGAAGTAGTAGTACAACCGGGCAAGGGGTGATTCCACGTTATAAAAGAATAAAATATTTTGGTATAATATTTTCTCATCCGGGGCTCCGTTTTCGAGAAAATCTACTTTAAAATTTGTTTAACCTGTAAACAATTTAATACAATTTGCTTGTCGTGTATAGTAGTAAAAAAGAATAAACAATAAGTAATCAGTAGGAATACTTCCCCATTGTCCCGGACAGAGACAACCGCAGTAGTGGAATACACGACAAGCAAATTGTACTAAATCGTTTACAAGTTGAACAAACTTTAAAATCAATTTTCTGGAAAACGGACCCCCGAATGAGAAAATGTTATACCAAAATATTTTCTTCTTTTTTAACGTAGAATCACATCCTGCCCGGTTGTACTACGATTTCCGGCCCACCCTGTATACAAACGCGTCCCGTGTAAACCGCAACTAGGGGGCGTGATGTGCACGTATACTTACGGTTTCACTGCGATGAGAACTCACCAGGCGGATACTCGATGTAACTGACGTTGATGTAATGAGCAAACGGTATCGCGGAAACGAGAGACACCAGCCATGTGAGTACGATTATTCGTACGGGAACCTTTAAACCGCTCGCGTAACGACGAAGCGGGTGACAAATCGCCAGATACCTTTCTGACGAGAACGCCACTATCGTCAACACCGACACGTAAGAGGACCTTCGAACAGAATGTGTGTTTCACCTTAGAATAGAATTTTTCCCATGGGAACGAAACGGATTTCGGCGGTACGCATCGACTCACGACTCGGATATGTAAGCCCGGATTTTGCAGATCCCTACTCCCCACCTCCATGGATACTGCTCCCAAAATTGATCCAACTCGAACGGAATCCCTGGAAAGAATTGAAAGACTTTTTCACGGGGTGAGTAAAGACATTTGCGCGCCTGTTTGAACTCTCGGTGGATAGACGCTACGACCGTACTATAGTCCGTGAATGGATCCAGTTGGACCCTTACACGTTCTTTGCCTCTTTTTGTATCACTTGTGAACGTGATCCTTTTTCTAAAGCAATCAAAGAGTTGGTTATTTTAATTATAAATAAATAATATTTGGCCTCTGTTGAATGGAAATTACGTACATGTCCTTTGTGAATTACCACACATGACATCGAAAATGCTATGCTAACTTATGAAACAATGAATGTTTTAATTCCATTCAACATTGACATTAAAACTTATCTCTAACGGATAAGTTACATGTTCGATAAGTGATTCCAAACTTTTCAATGGTGGTACGTAGAAGTTCAAAAATTTTATTAACGCCCGACTCATTCTGCGTCCCTACGTATGTAACCTATTATTGTCCGAATTCAACATCTGTGAACGATATTTGCAGTTAAGGGTTAACAATATGCAGGAAAGAAAATCAGAGCAAACCCTTAAGCAGATGTAACATGCCAATGAACACAATGAGTAATATCTAGCATATATCATTTTCCATCTACAGACGGGATCCGCACTGAAACGACTGGTATCATGCACAGTGTAATAATCATACATATAGAGAAACTTTCGATGGCCATTACACGCTAGGTAACACGTTCGGTAATATTAAGCGAAGATCACCTGACGTTTGTAGTCGGTTTCCATAGTTAAGGGTTTCTGTGCAGAGAATGGAATAGAGAGCAACCTTAGGTAGAATTTGCACAACAGCTAACACATCGATCGATACCCAGTCTTCTGAAACGATTTTAATGGTACAGGAAACAAGGAAACTGAAATGTATTATCACACCAAAGGGACAGCGCAACAGAGAGGTCGAATATTGCTCATGCAGTACTACGCGCAATTAAGCATTTTGTTGATATAATAATTATGTAGGTAAGCGATATCTCGAATCGTTGAGTTGCCCAGTAAATTTCTGTCGACCCCATTTATTGAGATATATGTCAGCCGTTATCTTCGCGCAGACAACTTAATTAATTCAACAATTACAAGGGAGTGTATTAATGTAATCTATCCATTTGCTTCAACGTCTTGGATTCTTTTCGAAATTTATAACTATCGAGAATTTGTTTAATAAGATTCTTAATTATTTTTTACCGATATTAATTAAAGTCCTATTCAGTTGCACTTCTTGAAGTTTAATCTTTTCGTTCCGTTTGATGTAGGAAAAGTAAGAAATTATTGATTGTGATAAAAATGATTGGAAAGTGGAGTTTAAATCTTTAGAAAAGTAGAGTAACCCAGGTGTATACGTTACAAGATTTTACGGACTCGGTGGGGAAACCCTTTTCATTGCTTTTGTAGTTCCACTTAAGAAGCGATGAAGTTATAAAACAGTCTTTATAACAGACATGAAGAAACTTTTCAACACAGAGAAAAGTGAGAATATTTTTCAAAAATAAAAAAGCACCTTGAATTATCACGGGATTGATTCCCATACTTCAATGACACTCTGTTCTTCAATGTTTACTGCGCCATATGCTTTTACATAAACATACATACGCACGTGTCCACCCGTGCATCGCAAAAATATGCGTCCACACGAAACCGTAAGTCGTGTTCCGTCGTTAGAAAAATATCATATTTTTCGTCCTCCATCGAAAGCATTTATTTACAATCGAATATTGAACATTCCTCGAGGGGCGGGACAAATAAAATGAATAACGCGCGTGCACGATTTTTCAAAGTCGAATACATAAAATTGAAATCGACTTGTCGATAAGTATCGAACAGTGGAGATAAACGATGTAACATAGCACGACATAAACGACGATAGCGATTTTATTTACGTCGATTCCCCGTGACATCGATCGAAACATTTTCATAAATTCTGATCGCACGGCTTCGACAATTCAGCGATCTCTTTTTTCAGAGATTCATGAACAGCTGAAATCAACGTTTTCCACCGAAAGCGTTGTTCCGTTTGCGAGACTCGCCAGTTCCATTAGGTTGACGCAGGCCACGGTATTGTTACGGGCCGCGGAGCAAACATCATTTCTGTAGAATTTATTCGTTCGATTTCCCATCGCCAATCGACCTATTTACAAATAATCGAGATCTCCATAACTCCGCGAAAGGGGATGGAAAGAAGAACGTGCTTCAAATAAATGATTTAATAATTCAAAAGGGTGAAGCAGGAGGAAGTACAATAATTTCACGATCCTTCGGAAGAGAGATATTTTCCGATCGCCGGACGTTTATTTCCGATCAAATTACCTTCAGCAACTTCCTCGTGTTATACCTACATAGACGTGCCTTAAAAAAGCAAAGGACTCTTTTAACTTTTATTGCTGTTTTTAACGTCTGTTTATAGAGTATCAGGGAACTGGTAATATAAGCAAGAGATGCGTGATTCAAATAATATAACTTTATTAATATTAAGTAATTGCTATAACATCTGTTACTGAAAATAATTTCCTTTCATTTCGTATGACTTTTTGCTTGTTTTCTGACAAAAGTTCAATTCCTGATCGATGGTGTAAAATGAAACCACGATATCGACTTAAATGCAACAGGTATGAATTTTGTAAAGTATAGGAAAATCCACGGACAAAATAACGTAATCAGCCGATGTAATTTCACGTTTTCGATGCAAACAAATCCATTCAATGGTATTACAATCACGCTTGTCGATACAAGTGAGATCCTAACGAGTACCCACGGACCCATGAACGCTTCGTTACACCGAGAAAGATCAGACCAGCCATTAGTCGGCAATTAACGTCAGACACGTGAGGATTCTGCTAATATTAGCTCGTGAACCACAGGACAGCATAAACTTCTCGACTAAATAGACTTATTTGGGTCTCGAGTCAGAAAAAACGTCGATAAACCGAAAATCACGAGAGACCACGGCGAAACGTTTCGATCACGTCGAATAAACGGATAAATTCGTCGGTGCAGGTTCTGTTATCAAACCCATCGAAACGTTCCAGCCATCGTAGCCTATAATTCACTCCATTATCTACGTCACGCAGTAATTGCTCTACAGCGTGGTCGGAAAATCTTGTCCAATAATTTACAAGGCATATTCTACACCTCGATACCGCGAAATGTTTTATAAAGGGGCCAAAAATCTTTTGCCGCAGAGATATGACTGTTTCAAGGTACTCCATGATATAAATATTTTTCGTAGTTCTAACAATTTATTTTCCTTTAATTTTTCCAAACTGATATGCATTTAATTAACAACCTTTTGCCGCAGAGATACGACTGTTTCAAGGTACTCCATGATATAAGTAGAAATCACCTTTTTTCATAGTTCTAACAATTCATTTTCCTTTAATTTTCCCAAACTGATATGAATTTTACTGATATGATTATTAATTTTCCTTTAGTTTTTCCAAATTGATGTGCATTTAATATATACGTACTGAATCGTGTAAAATTTGTATACATCTTAATATGTATTCCATACATGTCCTATTTGTGTTGTATTTTCTACAACGTACAATGTTCATGTAAATTTTTATACATGCATAGAAATGTTTCGAGTATATTGTGGTTGGCGTACATTCGATTGTAAAATGATTCCTACGCATCCAACTGCAATGTATACTACATTGGAAAGTTATTGGACAGGACTTCCCGAACAGCTAGTATTGTTCATGCACATCAACTGAAAACCGTTGCGATATATTACATTTTCTGCCGCCTCTCTTTTCTGTATCAATTTCCATCTTTGTCAGACGCTCGCGCTCGTATCCAAGAGAGCGAAAACTTTCGAACGAGGAAATGTAACATGCGAACTCGGTTTCTTTACTCGCGAATCTTCTACTCTCGCGACTTCTGTCTACCAAGAAAACTCGTTTAGTGGACTTTACGTGGTTAGTAATACTGATTCAATAATATTAACTATTCGTATCGTTATTTCAACACTCAATATGTGTACACTATCGTGGTCGTGAGGAATTGAATTAAAAAATGTATTACACATTATCAGTCTTCTTTGGTTGAAATAATTCTTGGTTTAAATAATACTAACAATAACCAATATTGGTTTAAATAAAACTAATATGTACTAACATTTAAAAAAAATTGTAAATAATCTTATTTACTAATTTTCTTTGTTTTGTTGTCTATAGGCATGCAAATCTTGTCCTATATCTTTTTTGAAACCGAAAATGTATCGTCGAGAAACGACATTAAAAAAAGAAAACATTTGAAATAAAGCTGGATACCGTTGTCTTTAATAATACCTAGACTATCCGCGTGTAGCGCATAAATCACCGATAGAGTTCGACCTTTGAAGAATCGTCGAGATTGACAAAGTTCGACAACTTCCTGCGTTCCATGAGAGAGGGAATACGGAAGTCGAGGAGTTTAATCGGCGCCACGAAGGTGTCCGACTTTCCAGCGAGTTTAATATCTGGAACCCGTATCCTCTTCTGACGTGGTTGACTGTAAACTTACAGAATATCCTGGTTCCGCCCGTCATATTTCGCGATTCCGGAAGAATTTCGAATAAAATATCGCCTCGTATTTTCACCGAGAAAACGAAACACATATCTCTGTCTTCTTGCGGAAACGGAATCACAAGTGCAACCATAACCACGGAAGAAACCGTCCTCTTTATCGAATACGCTTTTCGGTTCGTTTACTTCCACGACCATCGGATCGTTTTTCGATAGACATGCCCGTGATCTCCCGACAAGTGTCGGGTATCGTAGAGCTTGACGAGAAAATTCCGACGAATATTGTTTTTTTCATCCCCCAGCGGATATCGACTTTCGTGATTAATTACCGAAATGTATTGCGATAGATCGTCTTAAAAATAGACAAAACTGCGTGGTCGTGCAGCATTCCGTGGACTATCAATAGATTGCGGATGTTTATGCAAAATATTGATATTTATGGACCGATTTATAGAAATTGAAACCAAACGGAAAATTTACATTAGTCACCTTCATCCGGATAGAAGAGCCTCTGAGGCTCTTTTAAAAAAATGACATAAAAACAAAAATTTTCTTTAGAAATATCAAGGTCACCTTCATTTTTTTAAATGGAACCACCCTTTTTTACATGACCTTGAATAATTATAGTCACCGAATTTCTAATGAAAGAGACTATCATTGTAGGTGTTTAAAAAAGGGTAATTTCATTTTAAAAAATGAAGGTGACCTTGATATCTCTAAAAATAATGTAAAAACAAAAATTTCTTTGATATCGTGTGAGTTCCATTGAAACATGCAACTTTGTCCTTAACGACGTATCTTTTTAAAAACAACGAAGGTATTTGAGGTGCAAACGTTAGGTGACTCACCCTGTATACATATATATATATATATATATATATATGTATAATAAATGATTAAAAATTGAGTGTTACGATTTTACTGAATAAATAAACTGAATTGAAAGAAGTAAAATATTTCAGCTGTTCTGTACTGAAAGCCTCCGGGCTCTTCTCCATTCTATTATGATGAAGGTGAAGGGTCCAATCAGGCCTCGAATAAAACAAAATTTCATTAAACGTGGTGAAACAATTTACCGTACTAAGCTTTGGACAAATCTGCAATCTAATTACCAGTTTTAAACGAAACATCGATGAATGCCGAAGGTTCACAGAAATTTATTGTACTCGATATTGCATCACATCGGATCCCGTTTGTTACCTATTCAAATATACTGAATTAATCCGTCGTATTCTATGTTTATTATCGCGTTTAACATCGAGCTGTATGCTCGGAGAGTTTACACTGTCGTACAACGATACACGTTATTCAGTCACATCGGTGTGATGACCTGACAAAATTTTCTTTCTTTCCGAATTAATTTTGGCTCCCTGGAAGGGATTAATTGAGACAATGGGCTGAGTGGCTTTTGTGTCTATGGTAAATAGATTGTTAAACGGATACTAGATAGGCGATTATATTATTAGGTTGGTTGGAAATGAATCGCTGTTCATCAGTCGTGTCTGTAGTGTAAACAGTGCATTCAGTTAGCATAGATTGATACGATATAGATGGTAAAAGATTGATACTATTAACTCTGTACGGTTAGTAAAGATTGATATTATTAACTCCATATTGGTTAGTACAAATTAGTACTATTAACCAGCAACATTGACTGGACATTATGATACGATATAGATGGTAAAAGATTGATACTATTAACTCTGTACGGTTAGTAAAGATTGATATTGTTAACTCCATATTGGTTAGTACAAATTAGTACTATTAACCAGCAACATTGACTGGACATTAATTACATTTTTTTAATATAGTAACATACACAATGTATAGTATAACAGCATAATATAATGTAATATAAATTTTATATAGTATATTAAAAGTCATCACAAATTCCGCCAAAAGCGCTATTATAATCTCAGTAATCGTAGAACAAGAAACGTACAATCCATCGGTTTGATAGTTTTAGTGTTAAGAACGCGAATCCTTTCAATTCTACAACCTCTAATCTTGATCCGTATAAAAATAAATCTGCGATACTCTACATACTTTGCAATAATAGCAGAAAGAACCTTAATATTTTCCACAGGATACATTTATCATATTTAAATTCATTTCTGTTCAATTTATTATATTTCCCGTATATGTCCCGTCAACCCAATATTAACGAAAGATTCGATTAAATTACCAACAAAGCAACGGGTTGATTACGATCGAAAATACGATTTATTTAATCACGTTTAATATCCCGGGGCACGCTACGAATGCAGAACAAATGAATCCAAACGGAAACTTATCATTCACAAACGAAATATTTCATCGAACGACATACCACAGCCAATAAACGGTCGAAGTGCAATTAAAGCAAAATAAATCGACAACGAGCAATTCAAGGGTACACAAACGAGCATGTACTTACCGCATAATAACAGCAACAGATCAGACAGCGCGAGGTTGAACAAATAACAGTTGGTTGGCGTCTGCATGTGCCGTTGCTTGCAGATCACGATGCAGGTCGCCAGATTCCCGACGACACCGGCGACCAGGATCACGACGTAGACCACGGTGGCAGGCACCTTCAGCTTTAAGGGCAGGTACTTACTGCCCAGATTCGTCTCCAAGAATTCCGACTCGTTCAGGTGTTCGTACCCGGTGATGTTCTTGAGATAGGACTGTTCATCGGAGACATTCATCGTTCACGAATCTCGATCACCTTCCTCGATCAAAAACAAATCGTGCGTCCTCAAAATCCACCAATAGCACGCCACTTGGGCATCTGCAGTTCTACAGTCATGCCTTTTATTTTGGACCCCTTCGAAACACTTGCTGGACACAATCCTCCAAACTTTCGAACTCGAAAGGTACCATGTCCCTTAGCACACCGAAGAAACTGTTTATGTTTCGTGTACCTCAAAAATGTCACTAAATAAAAATTAGTTCAAGTCATGATCGAGAGGTGTACCACGATCCTCGAAATCGTTCGCGAAACCGACTAGCCTCAGATTCGAGAACGGTCCGCTTGGCGAACCGTGGACAAATGACGTCCCACGGAGAGCGTCGGTTTTCACCTTCGCGCCGAACGCGCCCCATCCACTACGCATCCAACCCTTCGACTTTAACCCCCGAACCGACCACGAACTCAGCCAATGAGGTCGGGAGCGCATCGTGGAACGGAACAATTCGAAACGTTCCACGATCAAAATCTACGGTCCAAAGGAGGGAACCTCCTTAAATACCACGCGCACTTTCCACCGTCATATGTATCTATAGAACAGGTTAGAAAGTCCACTTCGGAGAGTTCTTAATGTGATAGCTTAGACAGGGGTTAAGTGAAATGAAACGAGACCAAAGCGTGACGAAAAATTGAATTTTCGAGAGATGATTGGAATTATCGGAGGAGCTGAAGTTTCAATTAACCCTCATATTACCGCTGCACGATCATAACCGCCGCGGTGCAAGAGTTTTAACGATATTAAGGGAGTACATTACCTTGACGTGTGTGAAAATAGGTAAAGTTCGGGAATTTTTGTTCATAGGTAATTACTAAATGAAAAGTTTTCAGTTCTCAGTGGGTATGAGTAGGTATTGCTGTCAGCTTTGTTCGCTAATTTTTGAGACGTAAAAGTGTTACAAAATGGCGGAGTTATTCGTTAATTGCGGAAACTTTTCTTGCAGAATATCAGTTAGCATTAACTAGTACGTCGTATAATGTAGCATAGGATTCTTCAAAACTTTTAATAATTATAGGAATGGTAGCAGTTTGAAGAGAAAAAATGTATTTTTACAAAAAAATTAACTATAAATGTTTCTAAACAATTAAATGATTGAGATACCTAAAAAAATCCTACAGTAGCCTACAGAATAAATATTTTTATTAAAGTCGTATGTGACGATTAAAAAACACCGTAAAAAATGGTCAAATCAATCGTCGATTTTCAGTAAAGTTTCATCCTGTGATTAATTTGTTGTCTGGAATCCGCTTGGCGAATAGTTATTTGAGGTTGAATTACGTTCATAAGGGTGTTCATGATCGAAAAATCATTCGATGAACAGGTTAAGAGTTACTCCCTAAGTGTTCACTCTTTAAGATAAAATTTCAGTTCAGAAACGACTTTGTGTACACGAGATGACTTAATGTTTCGTCCCCTTAGAGGAAGATTTATTTAATGAATATTTCCACGAGACCCCCTTAAACGCGGGTATAATGGTTATGAAAATATTGCGTCGCAGTCTTAAATCACGTAAAACCAGGCAATTAAGGTCATGAAGAATTTGGAAGCAATACTGGAGGAACCGTTCGCTCGACACGGACTCTGAATTATAATTTATTCAGCACTACGTCAACGACTTTGAAGACTCCAAATTTTGGTTGCTGTTTACAAATGGCTTCACAAAACAAGTATATTAGTCGACTGCGTCTCTTTACGTAAATGTAGATCTTTACGAGTTGATTTATAGAAACTGAAATCAAACTGGAATTCGTTTACTCTAATAAATTGTAATATTCATTTTTTGCATAACGTATAATTTTGTTTCTACTTTGATCTTTATTTTCTCACCCGAATTCCTTTATTTGTTCCAGCTAAACAATACACGAATATTTTCAAAAATACAGCATCACTTTCGTAGGTTAAAATTTCCTAGTAATCCATGAACTTTCAATTCATCGGAATTCTTCAATGTCGCTGCACTCCTGAGTATTTCACAAAGTCTTTCTGTGTCCCCTTTTAACCTGGAACTCCCATTGCGCCGTGTAATAGCGAATCCTGTCCCACTCTTTGTCTTTGTCCATTCATCTCGTACCGCGATTTGCATTCATTTGCATAATTTCCTCGTCCTGGACGAACTCCTGGATCGTTCGAGCAACACGATGATCTGTTGTAATGGGCTGATATCATTATGATATAGCCGATATATAGTAAAAATTCGATTAGTGCACGAAACAATCTACAGCGTAAGCCCCGTGTTCATCCCCACCATTAAGGAAGGGATTCCCCTTGACGCACCGTGAGGATCAATTCCTCTTTCCATTTCACTCGTTGTCCTTTTCTACGTTCGGCGTTTATTCTATACACGGTGTCCCAAAATGATGGGGCAAGTCGCAACATGGATATTCCTCATGCAAATACAAATCGAAAAGTCCTTTACCGTTTTGTAATCTGAAGCTTCATTTCCGAGATATTAGCAGTTGAACGAACTCCAATCAGCTGAGCGGTCGGCCACGCAGTTAAGAAGCGCGCGTCTCAACTGCTTGGCCTCTGTCTCTTAACTGCGTCTGCGAGTACGTGTTGTGGCCAACCGCTCAGCTGATTGGAGTTCGTTCAACTACTAATATCTCGGAAACGAAGCTTCAGATTACACAACGGTAAAGGACGTTTCGATTTGTATCTGCATGAGGAATATACATGCTACAGTTTGCCCCATAATTTAAGGACACTCTGCATGTAGAATCGATTTGTCATACATAAACGCTCGACTTCGGTCCCAATTTTCTGGCACTAATCCAAGTTTGATTGTACAGCAATCTCGGACGCGATATTCAGCTCCGCCAACAACGATCTCTCCATGAAGATTTTCGAGTGATCGTTATCACTCCTCGATCCATTGCCAAGCAGGAAACGGACCGCGTACTCTTTCGGTCGGTGGGTCAAGGTTCCACGTAACAGATACTCGATGATCTCGTTACGTGTGTACTGAGCGTACGCAATCGCCCGCCTAGGCAAATGCGTTTGATGGAAACGGCAGAGTTGGGGATCCTCGTCGCAATTCCGTCTCGAGTCTTCCGTTGGCTCCGCGTACGAGTCCAGGATTAAGATCATCGTGCCAAGAGTAAAGATGTAGAAAAAGAACTGAAACGTATTTTATTCGTTCTTGTACAGCCGGCGAGACGCCGTTGGAAATTTTTATTCCGATAGTTGATATATCGGTTACCGATAAAATTGCATTGGTCACGGAGGAATGATAAAATAGAATCGAGGGGTTCGTGAGGAGAACGCAAAGAATGGTCGGTTTAATAGAATGTTCGAGATTACGGTATTAAATAATTGTATCGTTACATTTTAGGTGATATTAGAAATACAACAGCTTCTTTTAAAAGCTTCGTTTTATTCCTGAAATTCTATTTCCATATTGAATTATATTTTCATTTGAAATTATGAAATATTGAAGTATAAATCGATATAACCTAGAATAAGACAAAAATTTTTTTTTGGTTTTTTGACTTACAACCCTTTCATAATCACCAGCACATTTAACGTACGATATAAGCTGTAAACGTCATTGTTGTCACGTGTAAGTTCTCAGTATCGCACAAGATACTAAATTCACAAACTTGTCTTGGGTAGTCTCTAGTCATGAATATATTAGTTGTTTCGTATTCTCCTGTTGCAGTAACTCGAAGAAAATCAGGATTACCAAATCTTAATGAAATCTGGAAGTTCCTACACTCCCGAGAGTTATAATTCTTCGACATGTCTCACTCATCTCGCGAGCCCCTCAATTCTAATCTCGCGTTTTGAGATCCGTACTTCATCGTCTCTTTCGCAAACGTTCATAATATTCTGGAAACCAACGAACCACTTTTGCTCTAGCGTTCCGCTAACAAACGCTACGACCGCCCTCTACTCACAATTTTGGTAATAATCAACGGTCGCGAAACGTGTGAACGTGGACAAAAACGGAAACTTTAGGGCGTGAACAAGATCAGCTGTTGGATGCAGTAATGGTATAAGTCAGTAAATATGCTTTTGAGATATTCAGCTTAAAATATCTTGTAAAACCTCTTCTGAATTGATATATAAGTACATCTGGATATAGGGTAAACGCACCAATGAATGAACACTTATGAGATTTTCTAACTATTGAAGTCGAATTTTAAATAATAATAATATGAATAAATACTTGACACGTGAAAACTGGATTTTTTAATATTTGTATTCAAATTGTATTGTGATTTCAATTTGAAAAATGCGAAAAATGTAATTAATTAAATTAAAAAGAAGAAATACAAATTTTACTACTGATTGAACAATATTTAATTAAGAAAGATATTTCTAATCAATGGCGTGAAAATTGAACGTGAACCAAAGCATTGAAAAAGATCAATATTTAATTATTTACTTATTTTAATAACTTCATTCAACTCGTGTTTGTATATAATGTGCATTCACTAGTACGTGTTCATTTAATGGTGCATCCACCTTACTGGTAATACTGAGTATGATCATTCGACTGCGAATATTATGCATTTATAGCATACAGAAGTATGTGAACTATAGTGAAGGGCAAAAATTAGATTGAATTTAATAAGTTTTTTATTTTATTTTTATCTCATTAAAATAGGAAAGAATTGTCTATTTTTATTCTTTCTTTCAGAAATCATTTTGCATAAAAATCCGCAATCTAATGATCATTAACTGTATCGTGTCAGGGTAATCGAGTACGATACTTATACTGAGTACTGAGTGTATCTTGATAATAATTGTATCGACATGGATCAATATCAACTCATACTGAGATGATATACTAAACACCTCCTATTGAGTAATTACCGCGACTATACATTATTTATGTACACGATAGAATAAAGTTAAAGTTAAATTCCTATGGTGTAAACCAAAAAATTATTTAAAAAGTCGACTTACACCATCACTGCATCCAACGGCACAGATATCCCAGCCACCTACAATCCGTTACACGTTTGTACGGCGTACACATTTTACCTTCGACGTCTTCCGACATAGCACCGACATAATATAGCATTACGTTTCTTCGTTTTTGTCCTTATTCAGTCTACGACGAAGCTTTTAGGCGATAAGCACCGGATTAAATAGGGTTGTATTCTGAAACGGAATGAGGAACATCAATAGAACCGCGGCGTTTCTAGGTAGCGTCGATGAATCTCGCACGGGGACAAAAGGTATTACCCATTGCAATGACTTCTCTCCTGTTAATTGGCCGTAAACCGTTCGAAGAACGCACCGATAGATCAGGCAGATACACTGGACGGCTACGAGGGTAATGAATCGCGCGAGGCAATTTAGCGACTCTAAGAAAACGAGCATTAGCATTCTCGTGTCCTTGAGATTCTTTGCCAGACATTTTTAATGGGAATGAGTACTTATCGATGGAATATCGGACGGAAACTTTCAATTTAGGTTACACCGTTCATTTTAACGCCACGAACAAAGGAATTGTCGAAATTCATCTGGATTCGTTTGTTTGGTATAGGAATTATTGTACCCTGACAGACCCTGTTCTAAAATTTGCGACGTTCCCTTTCGTACATTTTTAAACTTCGTGGAAAAAATGACGTGAGCTGGCACAACAAAGTAAGCAGGGAATAATTGAAATATGGAACTGGACAAATCAGAGGGAGTGTACAGGTGATCCTCAGCCCAGACGTATTTAAACATACATGTATACAACCAATACAGATTTAGATACCTTTAGGCTATTTTTATCAATTAAATGAAAGTTATAATAAATCTTCCATTAATGAAAAATGTGTTACAATTTTTACAAGGCCTCTTGTTATTACTTTTGGTTTAATAATAAGTTACTTGGATACTACATTATTAATAACGCTCTCTATATTGCACACGATAAATAAAATATCAATATAAACATAGAGAAAAATAAATGAAAGAAAAGAGAGATATAGATTTACTTAACGAAATGATAAAGTAAAATAAACGTAGAATGGCATACAAGTGAAACGAAGGTAATAATAAAATCAAACAACAGTGTGTAAGAGCGAGTGGGTTCAGTGGATAATGAACACGATCATTTGCGCGATGTATCCTATTACAGAGAGTCACGTATGATATAAATCCGTAAAATCCACATTCTACTTATGAGTTTCATCGTTAGTACCAGCTGGAAACCAAACAAGCTAAACGAGTTGAGCACGATAAACTAACAAAACTAGGAATCCTTGAAGAAGCCGATTTTAGTCCATGAATCGTTGTGATATTGACTCCACCTGGCGGAAACGAAGTTTCATCATTAGTGGCGATGGAAAACTTCGACTGGCCGAGATAAATGAATAACGTAATAAGGCAGTCAAAAGTTGAAATCTTATAGTAATCTTATACCCCAGCTGTAGAACCGATCTTAACGACTTTAAAGACTTTTCTGCTACGCTTCCCGTAGACTTTCACGTTCTTCTTAGTTACTTAGGCTCCATCCAGATTCAAGAAACACGCACCGTACGTAATTCCGTCACCATCTTCGAACTTGCACGCCCAACAAACTTCCGGTACCGTCGCGACCCCTTGGATTCATTACGAAGTTCAAACTTTCCATCAATAGAAACTGGAGCTGTTCGACGTGGAGCAATTGCGATCCGTTTCGCGATAAAGAAAATTTTCTTACGGAAAAAAATGGCCTGGGGTGGTAGTGGACGCCATTTTTAGGCGACGGTTCCGAGCTCGTGGTGTCTGTCGTGAATTTAATCATCGTTCCCGTTTTTAATTAGTCGGGATTTGACGTGGATACAATATAAACCGGCTGGTATTTAGCGAGCTGTCACTCCAGTCTGATGAATTTGTGAAACGACACGTATTCAGACGAAAGTGTTTTTTTTTCTATTATCTATCGCAATAGGGAGAAAATGTTTCTGCCAGGTCCGTCGACGTGGTATTGGTCGACTATATTGAACAAAACTGAGTGTGTGAACTACGCATACAGCGCAACGTATGAGGCTTCTGGGAGCCAGACTAATGAATTCTGCTCTCTAACATTTCTCAAGTTTAATATTGTTTACATACCTATTTTTGAACGCTTTGTATTTGATAATATAAAATTTGCATATTTAAAACTATTCTGTATCGTTTTGATTTCTTTGCTGTTAAAATAAAATTTAATGAACGTCATTTTTAAAATCTATAAACCAAAAGTGTTTCTTGCAGTAGTGTCTATGGCTGTGAATTTTCGTAAAAGTCCCTACTCTAGTTATCAATTTTTTTCTAATTTCGGTAAACTGTAACCTTTATCTTGTATCTATGTTTATTACTTAATAATATATTTACACTCAGGGTTCATTACTAAAATGGTTAATACAGTGTACTCTCCTATATAGACTAATTATTAATTTAACATAAACGGCATCCCTATTACGAACACCACAACAAAAATTATAACACCAAACAAAAACATTTTCTGAAAACATTTATCCAATGCTGTCAAAAGGAATAAAAAAAAATATGATGGAGAAGCAGAAGAAACGCAGAGAAAATCTCATAAATGGATTCGAATTATTTCTCCTCAATTTTCATCTATTTTTCTCGAAACCAAATTTTCTTTTGCGTTTTCGAACGGCGACGGTTGTATTTCCAAAGGAACTATTTCTAACTTGGCGTTGTTTCTCTTCCACAAATGTGCAAAGTAAAATAACAGAAATCGTTACTATTTCGTCCAGGAAGTGGCGATAAATGTATCATCGACGCTGTCGGAAATGCTAAAAATAGTTTCCACATAGATTTCCATCGCAGCGTTAACAAGAACGGTTAATGGTATTTATGCACATTGATACAGCAGAACCTCTTTCCAACGTCGTCTGGTCGCCAAGAGGCGTTGTTCAAGCACACATCATTTTCACGACATTCGCGAAATTACTAATGCAAACAACAAACTGGGCGGCTTAAACATAACCGCAAATTCAGACTCAAAATATTAAGCATGCTTCTTAATATTATCGGGTACCTTATGTTCGCGGACATACCAGATGTTGATGGCGCAACCGTGCGCAGTGGATGCAATTTTCTTAAGGGAATGCGTGCTGCACCATAAAAAGTTACGGGACAGCAAGATGCATCGGACGTATATATGTATGCAAAACGCAACGGGAACTCGGTCGAAACTAATTAAAACGCCCACCGTTGACGCTTTTTATTTAAACACGAAAGAAATTGTACAACGGAAAATAGATCCCGGATAAAAATCGACTTACAAACGACACGACCATATAATACATCGTCAAAGAATAAATAAAAATGTAAATTAATTTACAAGCTACAGTATTTACAGGATTTAATCGGAGTTGGATGGCTCCGCGCCAAGGGAGGATTGAAGAGATCGTATAGATCACAGAATACTGCTCGCTGTAGACATGGATTCCTCCACGGTCCTTTTAGACGGTGCACTTTTGTTGCTCGCCTGTTCCCGCGCAACGGAGTGCATTCGGTCGAGAAGGGGTTTGGACGTTGAGTCCTCCTTCTTCAGCGCGTAAGATTTACGAGACGCATTATCGTTCGCGTTCTCGTCTCTGTTCACGGTTTCCCGACTCGCAGTGAACCGAAACATTTCTTTTGCCTGACCGATGGTGTACCTGCGCAACAGTCACGCAATTATTCGATGATTGTTCATGGTTTTCGACTGTTATCTGAGCTTGTGTACACTCGCGAGCAAACTCGGCTTCCGCTAGGGAAAAACAGGCGTTGGGGAAGGGCCTTTTAACACTTGGTATCGGGAATCACTGAAATTTATGCCAAATTAACATTCGGTTTAACATTTATTTCAGTACTTGAAATAAATTTATCAAGTGCTAGAAGGTCCTTCTACGTCACTTTTTCCCCTAGTGGAAGCTGAGTTTCCTCCTAAGTGTACAAGCATAAACAGAGAAATATTGGAGGACTTGCTACCTCTTTCTAATATAGCTGAGTCAATCACTTAAAACGCAGATTCCCAGAACCTCACACCCCACTACTTAGATGTAAAAAGAGATACCAACTCCTCCTAAAGCTATCTACCTTTTTCTAAACTAAGGTTGAAACATCTGTTTCAGGGAGATGCGCAGTCTATACAGGGTGTCCAGAAATAGTATCAATTCCCGGAAATGAGGGGTACCTGGGATGATTTGAAACAACTTTTTCCTCAGCAAAAATGTTATCCGAGGCTTGGTTAACGAGATATTAACGAAAAACCCCGACCAATCAAAGCGTGGGTCTGCCGGCAGAGTTCCCGCGGTAACGTTGGCTACCAATCGCAACGCGTAGCCACCGTTACCGCGGGAACTCGGCCGACAGACTCGCGCTCTGATTGGTCAGGGTTTTCCGTTAATATCTCGTTAACCAATCCTCGGATAATATTTTTGCTAAGGCAAAAATTGTTTTAAATCATCCCAGGAACCCCTCATTTCCGGGAGTCGAAGCTATTTTGGGACACCCTGTATTTCTATGTCTATGTATACAAGATGCTACCTAACCTCACTGAATTCTTAAAACTCGAATTATGAGCCTTCCCGTTGGTACCATTCTCGCACATCTGCGGTGTCCTCCTGGTAGTCCAGCTACGACTAGGTGGCTTCCTTCCAACGCAGCAAAGCGTCTGCTTGAAAGCGTGTCGGTACTTCATGCTCATTAAATTGTACAGAATCGGATTCACGGTGGTGCTGAAATAATAGAGGCAACCGCTCAAAATGTACAGCCATTCGTTCAAATCGGGGTAATAGTCGGACTCCTGCGCGTAGACGTAGAGCAATCGCTGTGCGTGGAACGGGGCCCAGCAGACGAAGAACATGATTACCACCGCACCTGGAACGAAATCGATCGGGTTAACGGCATATTTGGAATATCTGGAATATTGGATCGGTGCAAAAATGTTTTGATGAACTATCTGCAGATATGCTGATTTTTCTTACACGAATAAAAATTGAATTACCTACTTAAGTTATCATAAAGGCAACTAAATCATTGATTGTTAGACGGATTATTTTGATAAGCTGTGGTTTAAAATTTTAGCTCTGAGTGCATTTTTTTAAAAATGTTTGTTCATTGCTTTTACTATTATTTTCAATTAAATAGACGGGATAAATCCCATTAGTGTACATTAATATATATACTATGAAGTATATATTATACAAATATACACAAAAATGCAGCATTAGGAAATAAAGGTAAAAAACCGTATAAAGAAAGCATATATGTATGTATAAAAACGTATACGAAAGACTTATACTGAAAATATACATATACAAAAGCAGACGTGTCACAAAAACTATACAAGTTTTTATTTCGTAAAATGCAGAAGGTTGAATTTTATCTGCAAAGGGTGACTATCATCAGCAGAAGGTTGAATTTTGTTTGTAAAAGTTTGAATTTTACCTGCAAAAGGGTAAATTTGATTTGCAAAAAGTTGAATTTGAAGTGCGAAGAATTGAATTTCGAGTGCAAAAACTATACAATAAACATTCAATATCGAGACACATTTCCTGCTTGGTGATGTATGTTCCGACCAAAGATCAGTTAGACAATTGGGAGGATCACGGGAGTGTAACGTGGGTGGGAAACGTATTAGAAATTACGGAGTATCTTACTCAGCATTCTGATGACGGATCTCCGGGATTGAACCCGTCTCGAATCTCCATGAATCGCCCCGCGCACCACTACATCCCGTGTGCTGTTCCTGATCTTCCAGCCCATTCTTGTGTAAACCACCAAGATCACCAGCATCGGTATCAAGAAAAATATAATGCTGCTCAGCTCGTAAAGAGGAAACTTGGGCATGTACGGTAAGAGCATGGCGCAGATCGCTGAATTTGCCGAGTAATTACCCGACTCTACATGAGATATCATAATTTTATAACTTTCATATAGATTCGACGTAAAATTAATACAGGCAACCCTCGTATAACACAGTATTTCTGAAGGATAGTCACAGAATAATTGAAAAAAACGGCCGAATAAAATGGTATTCCTATAACACGGTTAAAGAAATGTGTAGAATAGTGTAGTTTTCTTAGTTTTTTGAACCTAAACCTGTTCTTTGTATATACATATATATACTACCGCTCATAAGTATTAGAACACCTGATCTGTGAGAAGAAAATCTGATGTTTCGTAAAAATTCTATATTTTACGTCACATTTATTATTTCATAATAACATAAGCGTTATCCATTGAGCTTTAATATTCCCTAAACGATAATTATTTCATATAATCAGCAATTCCGTAATACAGTAAATCATCGATGAGTGTCCGAAGGCTTCTCGGCACTGAGCATTAAATATTTCATAAACTAATGGCCATATGCGGTTAAAACAAATATCATTGGCTTCAGAATTCCAGGCCCTATCACTGCGCTAAACCTCATTAAAAATTCAGTGTTACACATAGGAATCTCTTCTTGTCAATGCCAAGGGGCCTTCGAACAATTGTCGATGATTTCCTGTATTTTGTAACATTTACCTTATATTCGGTAAGTGTCCTAATAGTTATGAGCAGAAGTGTACAGGTATTAGTTCTTATTCTGTTAGTTTCGTATAACACGAATTCGTAAACAATGGAAATTTTTATGAACCTAACCACCGTGTTGTACGGGTTTTATCTGTAGTTCGTAGTGATATAATAATTCACCTGGCGGATACTCGACCAAATTGACTTTTGTATAGATCGCGAACGGTATCGCGCAGACCAGTGCAATTGACCACGCGGCCAAGATGAAACGTATCGGTCTTTTGAGACCGCTTATCTTGTAAACCCGAAGCGGATGACATATGGCCAAATATCTTTCCATGGAGAAGGCCACTATCGTTAGAACCGACACGTACGAGGACCTGCCGAATGAATGCAATATTTAACTAAGCAAAGTAGTACCAATTGCCATGACCATTGCATGTTAATTAACCTTCATCTGGATAGAAGAGCCTCTGAATAATATATACAAATAATAATCTATAACGAGTAATTAAAATTTTAATGTTACTATTCTACTAAATAAATAAACCGAATTAAAAGAAAATATGTTAGAATTATTAATTTCAGTTATTCTATACTGAAAGCCTCTGAAGCTCTTTCCTAGTCTATCCTGATGAAGGTTAAAGTTACTTTAGTGACTTATGATATATTTATGTAGATGTCGAGGAAATGGAGTGTAGGTCTAAGATGGCTGAAAACAGGATGAATGAACAGAAAGGTTGAGAACAGAATGAAAGAAAAGATCGGAAAATGTGCGAGAGGGAAAAGAGTGGGCGCTATGTTTAAAGAAGATAAAGGTCGACGGGGAAACGTATATCATATACATAGATTTGAGTTATAATGGTAAGGAGAACGTATAGGAATGAAACCTTACGAATTTTAAAGTGCAATAGGAAGGTACTGGCAGATCTGATCATATTTCATAAATAATCAGCTTTTGGAATATATGAGTCAATCATTATTATGAATATTACTTGAATCGTGCATTTAAGGAAAATTAGGATCTGGTGATCGATGAATTTCTTACATTTCCGACACGTACGCCCTGATCTTGCAAAGACCGACACCCAGGGCCCACGGGTACTGTTGCCAAAAGACGCTCAGCTCGTTGGGTAATCCTGAAAGTTGAAGAATTCCCCGATAACGAACGGGGTCGTCGTTCGCCAGATAATGATCGACGGACACGTATATTTCATTTGGACCCGTGTATACACGTGACGTCCAACTTTTTCTACCGTGTTTCCTACCGTCGTTATCTACGGTTTATTTCCGCGACGATCGTGCAATTGACGTCAGATATCTGCTCCAGGACGCGAGAAAGGTGACTAATTGTAAGTACCGCGAGCCTCTTCATCTCGCTGGCACACAAAACACGATTTCCCAAAAAGTAGATTTATAACGTATTTGATTAATTTAACGTGCAAACGTGACGATGCTTCAACGACGACGTTAAAAGGATACAAGAACTAACGGAATCGAGTGATTTCGTCTTTCGTCCCAGAAACGATTCCACTCTTTCGATCCGTTCGCCTATGAAAAATTCAACCCACGATTTTATGCAAGCTTCCACGAACCATCTATCGTCTTTGTGTCGGTGCGATTCTAGTCGACACGTTTCATTAAATTCCGCCGGCAATTAACGTTGCAATATTCGTACTTTCCTTTGACAAACGAATTGTTCGATGGAGTATAATTAAATCGAATTTATACCGGCGACGAAATGGTTTTACGATAAAACGAAAAAATACGGGTGGTTTTTATGAATTTTCGAATAATATCATCGTGTACGTTAATGTTTAACTAAAGAGCGAAAAATCCGTCTCGGTTGTTTCTGTTCCCGGAGAAAAACATTAATATCTACACGGTTCGGTTTATTAGCCTATGGTGATCGGTATCTAGGTATCAATATCGGGAATTTCTGATCGCGTCGAGTGCACGCGAACGGGCTGTACCTTATCTGACAATTGGCTGCTTTCGACGCACGATTTCGCCACGCGAATCTCATCGAGAGAAACTTATCGATAGCACAACATAGAATTTGTTTATAAGAGTAACTTTTCCAGCGGTTTGATGTTTCATGTTTCTGAATTAGTGTCACATATTACATATTCAACTCTAATATTTACTAGACAATATATACGTGATACAATCAATAATTTTATAATTATTTCTAAAATTTACTTCACGTTTGATAGATGTCCTAATATTTATCTGCAGTGAACGTTGGAGAACGCGTGAATACTTGCAGTTCGCCTCGCGTGGCTAAAGTTTAAAGTATGTACTAGGAATGTTCGATTCCGATTCGATTCTTTAGAATCTTGGGTAATACTTTTTGTTACACCCCGTATACTAAACTGATCAGAAATTGGGTTCTAATCAGGAACTCGGTCTGTGACGGTGTGTACTTCGAAAGGAGACGATGACTCGTTTGCTATCACCTAATATCTCCTTGACTCATCTGCAACAAGAGCTGACAACTTTTACCCTGAATATCCCACGACTGTGACGCAAATGGAAAAGACGTTACGATCAACAAACAACCCACTGTGTAGATAACAATCGCTAATGTACACACGAGGCGAAGATTAATTTAAAGCCTTTATCATCGAGTCTTAACGGACGACAGAAAGGGGAAAACGAAACGATCTGGATGCGAACGCGCCATTCTCGGGCAGGACCTCTCTCTAGGATCCTTTTTATCTGTTCTAGAAATACATAATTCATACCTGGCTTAATTCTTGTCCATTCAATAACTATGAGCAATCGTTTCTTAGATGTACACTCTCGATCATAAGTATTAGGACACTCAGCTAATATGCAGTAAATATTACAGACATTACGAAATTGCTGAAAGTCTTAAATAAATATTGTTCAGGAAGATATTAAAGCGCCACGAACAGTGTTTACGCTACTATAAAGTAATAAAAATGGCCTCAAATATACACAGAGAGTGAGTCATTTGAATCGATTCCCTTGAATATTTTCGAAATTGTTGACGATACCGAAAAATGTTTCAGATAAAAGTTGAATGGTTTCAAGGGAGGAAATAGTTCGATGTGAGTAGTGCTGTTTTTAAGGAATAATTCATTTTTTATTGCATTAGTCGATGCACTGCTTATCATTCCTTATTAAAAAAGTACTAAGCTATTCACACCGAAAACCATTAGTTTAGGAGATATTATAATTTCAAAATTGTTTCAAATCTCATTTTGAACGTCAATTTTAAGAAGGTAAACATCGTATTATTAATACTAAAAACTAAAATATCTCTTAAACTAATGATTTTTCGGTATAAATAGCTTAATATTTTTTATATGTGGTGACAAACTGCATCTATCAATGCATTAAAAAATATATGAAAAAAAACAAATTTTACTTTTGTATGTCCTCTATGCGTCCACCCACAAAAAAATACTCTCATCAAATTATTTCTCCCCTGAAACCATTCAGCCTTTATTCGAAACATTTTTCGATATCATTAACAGTTTCGAAGACATTCGAGGGAATCGATTCAGTTGACTCACCATGCATCATTTTTCACAAAACATACCATTTTTCTTTACACAGAGCAGTTGCCCTAATACTTATGAGTGGACTTCGGATTTTTATGCAAAATCACATTTTTTAAAGTAATTTTTGAAGACACCAGCAAAGGTAGGAATTTCTTTCTTCCCTTGAATATCTTATTGGTTTCAGAATAAATGATAGAAAACACATTGCCCCTGACGAAAGTATTTTCTCTATTGTATTATCCAAAACCCAATTGGTAATAATTGCATAAAATCCGTAGTCTACTTATGAGCGAACTAGAACAGTATACGTAATGAAAAATTCGATTTGTTTCCTTTCAACAGCGATCGACAGCGCCACGCTCTCGCGGGGTAGGTCGCGACATGGCTTTCGCAAATCCACCAGGGAAATTTGTCGAATTAAACCGTGTTATTTCGCGGCCACACTTTCCCGTTTATCGTTATCGGGGAACCTTTTATCGACTATCAAAATACCACCGTTCTCAAATTGAAACGTTGTTACCGTGTAATTAACAAACCACTCAACGAGCGCTGATTTAGGGGGCACGAACGTGAATCCAATCCGTTTTTTATCGATCCCTCTTCTCACCACTAGTCTATTGAACCGGCATTAATACCCGTGGAAATGTACTTCCCACCGGTCGTTCATCTACTCCGTTCACCTCCATTAAATATCTGTCGTGTTTCACGCAGTCGCCATTTTTCTTCGCGGAAACTGTTACAAAACGGCCGTGCACGGGGCGCAAAGCAGCGAGATCGGGGCAAAAACGAATGAACCCGTATTATGGTCAATGTTTATTTCTAACCATGCTATCGCAGAAATTGGTTTTTATTGTTTATTTATGCAACAATCGAGAAAAAGACTTATTAGATATAAAATTTAAACTCTCCTTTATAATTAAATTTAAATAAAAGTATTTTTTTTAATATTTTAACTTAATAATAGTTCATTTAATATGACGTATAAAATGTCCCTATTTCTGTTCAGCGAAAATGAAAATACTCGCATTTCTGCTCACGAGCGTGTCCCTGTTTCTGCTTAGCGAAAATGGAACTGTCAAAACCAAACTTCGGGCGAACAATATTAAAGATTCCATATGTTTTTTTCTAGTAAAAACGCAGCGTCCACAATCGCAACAGAACTGCTCAAATCACGTTCCTTTACGACGGACAAACTTATTAAATTTATTTCTATTAAACTGCTGTCTAATAGAAATACTAAACTAATTTAAATAATTTTTTGTATAACTAATTTATTATTTAACCTTTTACATTAAATAAAAAATATACGTACTGAAGCAGAAATCGGGACGTGATTAGAAATAGGGACATTGACCTTATATTTAATTTTCTTCTAAATTTCATTCCACTAAACGTACTGCGGATGGAATAAACACACAGAGATGTCGTCAGAATAAACAGACGAAACATCGAGGACGACGAAGGATCAAACGCAATCGAAGGTGCCCTTTACATCTCGTTCCTACTCTTTAACCGGTGATCTCTCTGAACAGGAATTTTAAATTATTTCCACGCGAATCAGCCGAACTTTGAAACGAATTTCACCACGGAATTCACAGAATCCCTTCCATCCATCAACGAACTCGAGGTACACTTCGAGGTAACGAATATAGTCAGGCAGTAAATTCAACGAGACCGTAAAAAACGTTTGGGGATCCGTGGGTGAAATAAAAGGGTATAATTACAACAGACAGGGAATTGACACCGCTTATTCTAAATGCTTCAGAAAGCATCCCCCAACATTAGATTCCCATAGACCAGTTCCGAAGACATTTGAAATGCTGCGTACGGCCTTGGACCCACCAGATAGAGCTTCTTTTTACGAGACCACTAGGTTTTGCTATCCGACCGTGTATCGCCAGCTTCAACCAGGGGTTGAAAACTGTCGTAATATCGATTTCGGTTCTTGAAACAGTTTCACAGAATCGTTATTTTCTATAACAGTTATATAGAACCGATATATATATTTCGATTACGGTTCTTATATCGGTTCTAGAACCGTTATTTTCTCGGTTCTATTTCGGCTTTGTACTGGTTACAGTTATGGTTATAATAGTGTCACTTTTTATATCGGTTATGTTTCGGTTTCGTAGCGGTTTTTTATTCACTTCGTAGATATCAGTTCAGTATTCTAAACATATACATAGACAAATATGAAAAACAAATGTACATGAAATAGAACAACGAATATTGATAATAATAACCATGACATTGTAATTACCGCTGACATTAAATATTCTTAATTTTTTCTATAATTTAAACGTATCATTAACATAGCATTGTTTACGCCATGGACGCTTCAGGGTGTAATTAATTAGATCTTATTTTTGTACATACACGTATCTGATGAAAATTAATTGAAAAATTAAAACAGAACCGATATAATAACGAATAGTATTACAATTGTCACCGTCACTGATGCAGAACCGATATAGAACCGATATACAGTGACTCACAAATTTCTTCACGGACGGCTGTTACTTCTAGTTGCCCAAATTCTTTACCAAAATGCGAATTTTGTTTCAAAATTAGGAAAAATGTATCACAAAGTTCTGATAAAATTAACAAAGAGAATATACAAATAGAAATAGCATAAAAACCCCTAACTGTTATTTTCGAAATCTGTGAACAAATATGTGAGTCACTGTAAGACCCGTAACCGAAAAAAATATAGACGAAAATTACAGTTTCTCTTAACAGTTATTCAAAATAAAGGTTCTTCAAAGCTGTTTCACTGAGATATACATACACCAGCTTGAACCAGTAATTTTCGGAAGGGCTTCAAGTTGAAACTTTCAACCCCCCAGGCTTCAACCCACGCAAACTCACCCAGTATAAGTAGAGTAAGATCGGATATGGCCAGACTGAACAAGTAGTAATTGGTGGCCGTCTGCATCGATGGATTCCTGATGATCACCGTGCACGTGGCGACATTTCCAAAGATCCCAGTGACGAATATGACCAGATACGCTATCGTGAGCGGCACAACCATCCTCATCGGGAGATACTTGGGCCCCAGCACCTTGGTCAGGTACTCCGATTCCGTCAGGTTTTTCAGGTCCCAGTCCTTCCAAAAATCGTGCAGATCGCTCACATCCTCCGGCGACGTTTCCATAGCGACTTCCAAATAGAATGTATTCTATTCCCGCTACGTGTGAAACCTTTGCCGTTCGAGGGGCTGGAACGCGTGTCGAGCATTTAAGAAGGGATGCCAGGTGTGTTTGTAAATATTGTGGCGCCGAAGGTAAGAAGAGGCTGGTTCGAGCGAGCCCGGCAACGGTCTATTTTAAGAATGCCGTATGTACGTATCTGTGGAAACAATTATCGCGGGGTAAACAAAGCATTCCGCCGCGGCTAGATAGCCGGCAGTCGAGCCGTCAACAGACTACGGTCGGTTTGATCGTTAATGGGTCACCGTGACAAACCACCGACGGAGCATCCACGACCTTCCTCTGGACCCATGGGCGTAGCCAGGTTGTCAGTCAGGGGGGGGGGCAAAAATATTAACATATCGAGTGCCACAGTGAAAAAGACTGTACGTAGCCAGACACACTTTATTTTGTTTTTTAAAGCCATAAATCGTTGAAAATGCATGCTTTCTGTTAATACAGGCTGTTGGTCGTGTTTCGAAATATACTGCAATATTAAATAATACGCAAAAATTTTATAACTGTAGAAAGGGACGGGGGGGGGGGACAAAATTCAATTTTTTTCTTGTAGGATGGGGCAAAAACCACTTTTTTTGTGTAATATTTAAAACCACCATCCCTTGGCTACGCCCATATCTGGACACTGGTGAATCACCGTCTGTGATCTGGGGAAGTATTGTAAGTATCCTGAAAATGTTCGTGCAGTTTTTGTACTAACAACCAAACCTCGTATAACATGGGTTCCTGTAACACGGTTTCACTTTTGGTTCACTTCTGGACGCTGCACAGGTGGTGTGAAATCCTCAAAACGTGGCGAAAATTCCAGAAATGTTTTTGGTAGTAGAGATTGTGATATTTTGTGGTTTGTTGTATAAACTTAATGTATTTTAATATTGCCGCATAAATTCTTTAAAATGACACTTCCTCGGGAAACGAATTTTTGTCACGTTTTTGAGATTTTGCACCACTCTGGAGAATTGGGGAAATCCCTGAATAACACGATGTTTTAACAGCAAGGTTTCGCTGTATCACGTTGCATTGCTCGATATAAATGCAGTATAGTGCGCGATGCAGCAGTTCCCTCGCAGAAAACAAAAGAAGTATAACTAAAAGTATATTGTGTGCTGCGGTAGGGGTAGAAGGAATGAAAGTTGGAAACGAGTAAAAAAGGAACAAAAGTAGGGGGTAGATGTACCAATTACTGCCACCTTAAGATTGAATTAAGATAACATTTTATTTTACCATTATTCAACATCCCTTTCATTAAAAAAATAGTTTTATACCTTAAATATGAAGAGTTAATAAATAGTTAATTAAAATCTGCGTACAATCCCAGTGTCCCCATAACTGTCACCTCGAAAGTTAAAATAATTCTTATATAATTTAACAATTCATTTTGTACAATATAGATATAACAAAATTACGGCTCTTTCTTTAGTATGATTTCGTTATCACTTCCTACTTACGTAATCCCGTTTTCAACGTTCAAATTGCATTTTCATTGTTCAACATTAATTTTTAAATACTAGATATATACAAATACACGTATTTCTTCATTTTCATGCGAATCAGAGTCCCAATAATTCAATAATCAAATTTCTTGTACACAATACTTTACACGTAACATTTTTATGAAAATAAATAAAGTGGCAGTATTAGGGACACTGACAGTAATTGGGACATTTAAACTTCATTGAGTTGGCCTATGTTTACCGAGGTCGTTCAAAACGATCGGGGAAACAGTCTCAGCAGGTCAACGGTCGCGCGGACAACTTACCCGTCGCGACCCAGACGAATCACAGAACTGTTTGAACTCTACAAGCGATAACACGGTACCAAGACCATATTTTCATTTGTGCGCATATAACAAAACACTCTCGAGTCTGTTAAAAATCCTGTAGTACATACCGTTGTGGTATCGTTTCGTTGCAAAGCGGACAGAATTGTTAAGTGTTCAGCGTTCGTCGTGCTTATTTATCGGAAATCGTACTTTGTGATCGTCGAAGTGTAATAATTGTTCGCTCGACGAGCCAGTGGACAATTAAACTGTGTCCGTTTACAAAATCACGGCGTATTCTTCGCTCAACGACAACATCGTTCCACCATCCAACGAGCTGATCGAATGAACCGCGGCGTTCGCTTCCATCTCGAGATCCACAAATTCCAGCCGTTCGATCTGATTCACCATGTTGTGCAATTGTCGAGCGTTAGCTGGAGCGCAGCGTCCGACTTCCGGTCGCCGCCACGCCGCGGATATTCATCCTTCTGGCTCTCGTTTGGAACCTTCTCGACATCCTCGGAACGATCCGCGAACTGTGGAGTCTCTTTTGTACGAGCAACAAAGAAACGTGCCGACGATTATATCGAATTGATCAATGTCAAAAGAACACTCCGCCTCGCAGTATCACGGATTCCGCGCGATAACGATCCGTTTATGTGTCGACGGTAGTGGTAACACGTGCGCTCGCAATAGAATAAACGCGTAATCGAAAAATAAAAAAGGGGAAATCACTTTGGAGACATTGCCTCTTGAACACGTTGACGAATCGTCGCGATCACCCAAATAAATGGAACCGAACAGACGAAAGCGACGATAACAACGCTCTCGTGAGCCACCGTGCAGCGTGACTGAACGGTAATGTTCTTCGACACCTGTCCTCCCGACAACCTCATCTCCTCTTGATCCCGCCGATAAGAGAATCGACCTAAACGAGTCATTCAATTGTGATAGGAGTCCCCGGTGCATTCAATTATCGCGCTCGCGACTTGCTCAACGATCTCGATTCGGAAGCTGGACTTCACTTGAATTGAAAGTACAGCATTTCCAGGAGGAAAAAAGGAAACGTTTTTTAATAATATTTTTTCCGGGTGGAAAGAAAGGAACATTTGTTTTAATAATATAATTCTTTTTTGACCTATTAATAGAAATTGAATCAGTTTGCTTTTACTAGTAGTACTAGGTCTCCATGTCTACACACTGTGGTAATAAATTTCTCATAACCTGTATACTCTAAACTTAAAAAAGTAGAAAAATATTCGAAAATTAAATCATTGTTTTGTTTGTGTTTAAACATTCACCGCTGAAAGTATTTCACTTGCCTTTCCGTTCACGCCATTAGGATTGTACATTTAACGGAGAACTCTATGTACCGATACATGTACAAATTTCTTTAATCGAATGTAATATTCGTACAATCTACTATCCGAACTTCTGTTACCGTTAGCATTTTGTGGAATAAAGAGATTAAGAAAATCTATAGAACTATATATTGTGCGTGGAATTCAGGAAAAATTGAAACGATTTCTCATCGAATTATGCATTGGAAGAAATATCCGTGGACGTTATCAGAAGAATTTTTAAGAAAGTGTTACATGTATTGACGGAAAATTTAATCCAGCTAGAGTGAAACAACACGGTTGAGAATTTGAATTAACAAAAGGTTCAACGTGTATCGTACCGCAAAAATCATACTAGCCGATAAGATTGATCGGAGACAATGCAACGATAATATTTTCGATAACGCGCATTTACGTCAAACGTACCTGTATTTTTTGATCGAGCGTACGTATTAATTATTGCAACATAAAAAAAAAGTTTGACGTTCTCTCTCCTCTTAATCGATAATGAAATAGACAAATTAAAACTTCGAATTATGTTCGTTTTATATTTACATTCACGATAAGATTCAATTCACCGCGATGTTATAAAAAAATTACTTATCAAAACGAGTTCTAACATTTTTCAATGTACAGTCTCTTATGCCGATATTCGTGCGAATATTTACAATTACCGCTGTACAAGAGTTAACTAGAATCGGATTCGTCGGAACTCGACTCGTTGTCGTTATCTGTTCTATCAGAATTCTGTTGTAGTCTATTTGTATTTACAAAAAGGTCATCTTCGTCGCTATCATTGTCTTCTCCACCTTTGTTCGTTGTTTCATGATTTGTCTTTGAGGCTTTGTCGAACTCTTTTGGCCAACAGTTCTGAGCTCGATACCACTTTTGATGTTCCTAATAAATAAATTCCTTATTTCAATTAGTCAATAACAAAAAAAAAAAGAAATACAAAAATAGAAATTTACCCGTGTTAATATTTTAACAATTTCCGCCTTCACTTTGTCCCCCTCTGGTATTGGCTCTACAAGCACAAAATCGCCTCTTTTCACCCAGATGTTTCGCCGGAACTTTGTTGGCATTGACACAAGGTACTGTTCGCTAATGGCATCTTCAACTTCGTGAAGATTGTTACCGCGAGATTCGAGTATGCGCACGATCGACTGGGATTCGGTAGGAACACTCAAGTCCTGCACTTCTTTAACAACATGTTTGCGTTTAGTTGCTTTGGACATTCTGATCTGTAAATTTAACGGTAACAGAAACAATCAACCATCTAATTGATACAAACAAAACGACAAACGTACAATACGTTATTGGTTATTCAATAACGCTTTCGGTATTGATTCGATGACCACAACCAAAATTACTATTTTTTTTATATTCTATCATTAATACGCATCGCCTCCTGCTCGGATAATTCCTGATCTTGTTCCTCCGTCTCGTGCCATGGCCCAAAAGAACCTTCTGATTTTCTTATCGTTTCCCAAATGTCTAAACTCTCTCCCAATGGAACATCGTATTCACTTTTCAATCCATGAGGATTCGATGGTGTCCTACAATCGTCTTTAGATTCTTTCCGCAAAACGGTGTCCACTTCGACGGAAGTGAAAAATGCTACCGACATTGGCAGATCTTTCATTCCAAGTCTCGAGGCGCAAAAACATCGCGTCATAAGATTGGTTACGTGCATGGCAAGTGCCGCGTTGTATTTGTACTCCGACGGCACCATATACCGTACCTCGTCGTGAAACGACAAACAGAATCTTATGTTATCCTTCATGAGCCATTTCATCGAGACCAGCATCAAGTGTAAGAAATCAACCGCTCCGCTCTGAACTACCCAGTTTACCTTTGTAGGCAAATACTTGCTGCTCGTTTCGTTCTCTAAGGCGCGAGTCAATCTGGAGTTCAAGAAAGGGGTAACGGGATGCTCACTGTTAGCAATTTCCTCCAACCTGTTGAACATGGCCGATTCTGAACCACCTGTCCATTTGCTATTACTAAACATCTCTGATAACGTTTTGCCAAACAATTTTGCTGTCCTGGACGCTTCATAAGCCGAATATTCTTTGTCCAGTATTTCCTCGTTAATGTATTCAGGTTTCAGCCTGTATAGTCTTTTACCCTTGGTCATAGCGAACATCTTCCGCGACTTGGACGCGGCTTCAGCGTTTGTCATGTTTGGATTAAATTGTTTCAAAAGTCTTTCCGCAAACTTTTGTCCCGCGCCGTAGATTCTGGCATAGTTGATTATCTTGGCTTGATTTCTCGATATTCCAATAGCTTTGGCTGTAACGCTGTGCATATCAGTTTCATTAGACTTTGTTCCTATTAGGGTCATCCAACCGAAAGGTGTACCTCCTTGAATATTTTTATAGTTAGCATCTCCTAACATCGACGAAATCCACAGCTCTTGACTGTCCACATCGGCTCCGATGATGTTATACCCTGGAGGGGCTTGTATCATAGCTCTCAATTCAGAACCAACCCGATCTATATGACCATTGGAAGCGGTCATCCACGTACTCTCGACTGCACGCCTAGTTAATGTACCACACACAACTACCAAAGGTATGATTGCACCATAGCACAATGACTTTTTAGTATTGTTCATGGTGTTTGGTAAACAAGAGTTACTGAACCATACAACAAACTGTGACATAATCCTATCTCTGTTATTCCTCCAGTATGAGATCATTTTAGCAATTTTCAATACCTCTGATGCGCTGCTGTCTAAACCAGCAAGAATATTTTCAGAAAATTTATTCAGAAAATCTTTGGCCAAAGGATTACCGACATTGCTAGTTCCTCCATCTTTATGTGGCAGTTTAAGAAAATAGCAACAGTTATCTATAATCTCGTCACACCAGACTGCTGTACCTTTATACAATTTACTTATATCAAAATCAGATTTTTTCTTCTTCTTCTTAAAATACCAAAAATCTTGTTTGTGTAAATTCATTTCGACGGTTTTGTCAAGTGTTGAAATTAGGTATTCTGTTTCCTCAGTGGAATGTTCCATTTGTGGTAAAGGACATTGAGCCAACAGTTGCTTTAAAGGCACTTTCGTTTCTGCATCTAAATCATCATTAAAAGGCACTAAAATTCCCCAACCTTTGTCCCTTATATAGTGTAAAGGGTAACATTCCCATGTAAGATTCAATAGCTTCGGAACAATTTGCATAGATGTACTTATATACTGTGGACCTGGTTCCCAGTTTTTATCATTGAGTTTAGCGCAAAGTTTCCTGTACCATGCTGGATATCCTGGCATATGTGGTAGCTTAGCAGGTAAAAGTTTTCTTGTCTGTTGCAAATAACCAAATTCCTCCTCTAAAGGATCTTCCTCCTCCTCCTCCCCATCTGTAAGATACTTTTGTGCATCGCTTTCTTCTTTTTTGGTCTTTAGTTCTTTAAATTCCCTTTTAAGATCTACTACTGAAACTGATGTCTTCACCTTAATTTTCTGGGTACTCCAATCTTCATTCCACATCCATAAATTTTTTTCATATGATCCATTATGCATAAGCTGACACACAGCATTAGCTCTTTGAGAAAGAATAAACTTAGTTTCATAGTTTAAATTGTAACAGGATGAGGAAACCTTTCTTCAAACGTAGGAAATAACTTGCACAATATGTTATATGTTGCAACTACATCACCTGCACAATATGTCATCAAAGAATTGAAATCTTTTCTTACATCGTTCAATGTTCCCTCTACAAACACATTTCTTGACTCCTTACTTATCTCGTTTCCACAATAAAATTTATGGACTTCTGATAAACTATTCAAAGAAGTTTGCATGTGCAAATTAGTTTTCTCACAAGTATTCTTCTTGGAATTTAAAATTGTTCTTTGGTAGCTACTAATTCCACTAACAGATACATGAAGTGACATTGTGTCAATGAACCTTGTACCTGTAGGATTCAACCAATACTGTTCTTTAATTCTACTCCTATCATATGATACATTATGCCCTACTATAACCTTTGGTTGCTTATGATATGCAGTCAATTTCTCCCCATGTTCTGTAGGTTTACTTTCTATTGGTATCAACTGATCCATAGTAAACTGCTGGCCTTCAAAATTTGTAGTTACTCCATCCATTAAAGACTTTGATACCCAACCATACCAAGCTCGATTTGTTACTGCGGTTGCAATTGTTGGTAAAGGTCCTTCCTTCATACAAACTTCCACATCAAAAATAATACCATCCTCTAATGGATAATCTACAGATTCTACTCCATCAGGTGTATATCTGGTCCATCCTTCTTTTAACATCCAATGATCTGGCATTTTAGGAATGCTTTTCAAAGTCTCTTTTATAATTGTTACATAAGGCTTAACTTGCGCCTCACCAATGTTATAAAAATGTTGCTCTATATCGTTGCCTTCTAAGGGGGGCAATTTAATATCTACATTTGGTAATCTTGACGCATCTTTAGTCTGTATTCCATATAAACTCAAATTGTGTTTTATAGATTTTATTTCTGCTGAAGATAGTCTTTCTTGTTTATAATCATTCTTAAATATTTGTGTATGAAGTGATGTTGAAAGCATTTGCATATTAATTTCATTGACTCTTATATCGTTATCAAAATTTTCCTTCCAGTCTCCTCCATTTTCTGTTCCTTCTATATCGTCGGATTTAACAGTAACATTGAAATTCACTACTGTATCAAAATCGATCCAGTTACATATTTTTTGAAAAATAGTTGGTTTGTTTTTTGTGCCGGTAATCTTTGTGGAGGTTAGAACCTTAGGAACATGCGGTACTTCCGTCCACTTTCCATTTCGGAAAACTCTTTTCTTGGACTGACACCATACAATATTATCATACGCTGAGGTGGTACATTTGTAACGACTAGATACACGCATCATACAGCTTTTCATTATTATTTTGCACTTGCTTTATTGTTGACGAATTCATAGTAGACAGCATGTGCTCGACACGTGACTGTATTACTGTTAACACAAGTAGTAATTTGTTATTAATAAATTGTATCAAGTGAGATCTTACCTGTTAGTTGTAAATAGTAGTTCAAAAGTAGTTAGTATTTTGAATAAATCGCTAATTTTAATAAAGTTAATGAAATAATATGTCAAACATTTTGAATGCTCTACAACGCCATATTGCCACTCAACGCGTAATTTTAAAATCTTCTGTCAAGCATAGTGATATAATGTAAAAATCTTCTCTTTCTATAATAAGCAATGGTTAGTAGTAGTGAAGATATTAAATACTTGCAGTATTAAATAAGTGTATTCGAATAAAAGTATTTTTTTCTCTTTTATTGTGACTTTACGAAAACGTTTTTCTGGACACGGTATTGTAAGTACACGTTCTATTGAATAAGAGGACTTACAAACAAAAGTAATTATACGAATATTTTAGACTTTAGACAAACAAATGCATCCACATGTATTGCAACATATGACAAATAACTGGATTTCCCCGGAAGATAACACAATCTTCTAAACACGGTCCTCGCATTGTAAAAAGTTGACCAATACCAATACACAAAGGAATTTTCGTACTGCAATGGTCATCCCCAAGGACAGTTATTGAACATTTTTTTAGTTATTTAGAACAAAACTTAAAACTCCAGAAATTTAAAATGTCAACAGATTATTTAAAATGGTATGTCAAAATATAACTGAATTTAATACTTGTGTTCCATGTAATTTGATGTATTATTGCAAAAATATATTTGCTGATAAAATTTATTAAATCTGATTAAATCATATACCTTATATCTTACTCTATGTACATGTTATTTATTTTAATGTCAATGGCATGACATTTCAAATATTGCAACAAAACGAGTTTGTCCGAAAACACTTATTTGATATTGTGCATTGACTTGAAATGTGACCGAGTAAGTAGAATTGAAAGAAATGGATCAATAAATTACACTATGCACGTTATCATTTCTATGTGAAAGTAATAAATTGTTACTTTGATATATTTTATAAATGTCACCTATTTCTGCTACAGTGATCACGACGACATCTTCGTAGCGTCTGCCAGTTTATTGTGTTCGTCATGGCTTCGACGGGTTAGTGTAAATTTAATATTTATATTTTACGATTTTTTAATAAAAAACTCCCTTTAAAGATGTTTCAGACAGTCTTAATACATGTTTGTTTTTCACGGTAACGGTTATTTGCTCGTTGTATGCGTAAAAACAATATAATTTCATTGCGGTTTCGTACTTGTCACTTTTGACGTTTCTCATCGTGTATTACGCAGAAACTTTCGCAAGTTTCGTTAAGTTAAGCAATATTAACAGTCGTGTTTTCTTTTTATTCAGAATCCTTGGTGTGCGATACACTCGATTTAAGTGGTCAAGGTCTTAAAAAGCTCTCTCGATGTCCGTCGGATGGAGATATCAGCACATTGATCATCGATGATAATGAGCTTCAGCGTCTTGATAATCTTGATTCTTATCATAGAATTACCAAGGTAATGTTTTCCTTCATAATATTTAGAATATATTATTTAATTTTTCGTATTTTCTGACGTAACGTTGACATACATATCTCTTCCATTGACATGTCAATAGGTATAGTACTTTGTGTAATAAACGATTAGTTTTAGAAGTAATAAACATGAAATTTCAGCTTTCAATAGTAAGGAACCAACTGCTACGGATGTATGGTATATCAAAGTTACATAATCTTGTAACTCTTAATTTAGCAAATAATGGTATTTTGACCATAGAAGGTATAAAGGATATGACAAACTTACAGACTCTTTGCTTAGCTGGTAATAATATAAAGGTATATCATTTTGAAATAATGCATTTGCAATTATAAAAAAAAAACTATTACATAAGTTTCTTTTAATATTACATTGATCTGTATAGTCCATTGAACATTTACATACAAATACCAAATTGGAACATCTGGATTTGTCTGAAAACAGCATCAGTCATATTTCAGACATTTCGTATCTAAGAAATTTGAAGGTAATACTACTAAAACTTTTAGTACTTATTTCTTGACCTTTTATTAATTGGGAACGTATAACTGGACTTTGGATATTTATGCAAAATCATAATTTCGGATACTAATATGTAAAAATCAAAATTGAACAGGAATTTCTATCCTGCACTAGGGTCTTTAATATTTAGAAATACTATTCAATTTTATTAAAATCCTTGTTTCACGTTGCTTTGTAGGCTAGGAAATGGTATAAATGCATAAACATCTGCAGTCTGGTTATAAGAGTCAACTAAACGTGTTAATTCTCTTCATAATGTTTTAGGAACTTTTCTTGCATAATAATCGTATTATAACATTGCGGCAATGCGAACGCTACTTACCTACTTCATTAGAAACATTTACATTGGCAAATAATAATATTACTGATTTAAACGAAATGTCACATTTAGCTAATTTAAAAAATGTAGTAAACTTTTCGATCGCCAATAACCCCTGTGTCAGTATGGCAGGTAACAGTATGTATCCTTTTTATTGTTTATGATTCACATTTCCATCGAAAGATTAGAGATGGATTGGTGAAATACTCAGAACACTTTTTTTACATGACATAGATAAAATGATGTGATATTTTACTATCTTCAGTGTCATTTTAGAATTATTCTTTGTCATAAAATATTACGCTTGTAGAAAATTACACACAAAAGAAAACATTTATACTAATAGTAGACTTACAGCTATAGCTTATTCTTCTTAACAAATAGCTAATAGTGGGTTTGACTATCGTCCTTTTGTTATCAATTGGTGTATGAGCTTAAAATCAATTGATGGCTATCCTGTTGATCCTATTGAAAGGTAGGTTTATTTGTCGAAATATTATAAGTATCTGTGATGTAGCATACAGAATTGTCTCAGTCCAAACAATCAAAATTTATTTCAAATGGTGGCCACTCAGTTTAAAGGCAGAGTGGCTGTATTCTCAGGGACGTGGTAGACAATTCCGTGTCGGTGAACATGCACCGCTTGCTCAGTATCTAGCATCTGTCTGCCCTCTCTCTGGTGAATCCCTTGAAAATGAGACTGACAGGAAGCTTAGGCTGATTTTGAGTAAAGCACAACATCATCAGCAACAATTAAGTCAACAAAGTGACAATGGAAGTGTGCACAGCTTAAGTAGCGTTGGAATGAGTCCTTCTCCAGCCACTAGGCGTAGACTTAGTCATAACAGGACAAGTTCTCCTAGACGTGCCAGTGAGTCAAATTAATCCTTAATTTCTTTTTCTTAATTGTTGCAAGTACGGTCAGGAATCATTTGATGTTCTACTTATATTTGCAAACGTGGACTAGTAGTGATATACACTTTCCAGTCGTCATGCACATTATATGTGTCCTAGTTATAATGTGTTTTCTCTAGTTGCGCCAATGTTGACATACTATGAAGATAAATGCTTACAGTCACCAAAATTTTATGAAGCAAAGTACTGTGTGTGCCGTTCACCTTGTAAAGGTATCCAAAGGCAGAATGAGGATTTAACACATATGGCTATAACTGCATAATAGACATGTGTAAAAATCTAAGACTGATTTCCCATTTATATTTTAAACAAATTCAAACTGAAAGTACTATTAACAATGCCTAAGAAATCCTATTATACACTCAATAAATTTTATCTTGGATTAATGCACATGTTCATATTTTTCGTGCCTAGTGTGTAGTATGTTTTTAAGTGGTTGCTTTTTTAAGCTTATAGCGCTAACGACTTTGGAGAATGAAAGACAAAACTATGTTACGATAATGATGCTAATTAGAAGATTTGGTTAGCGAATTATCATTTGACGATTTGGAAATACATTTCACCATAGTTCACAATTCTTGTATCGTTTGTCTAGTCTTTAGTCCGATATCATTTGCACGCTTTCGCTAGCAAAGCTAGCCCCAAACGATCCATAAGCATAACAAAACACGTAATAATGTACTAGCTAAGGTATAAGAATTGACAAATATGATATTTTATTAGGCTCGTCAAGAAACTCTTTAAGAATAAGGTCACCGGACAGAATGATATCTAGTATTCATACAGATGCAATGGTTTCTTCTTGTCACACACTGTTAAATGAAGAACATGAAGCATTAATGACTCAAAGTCTAGATCCAAATATGCTGTGCGGCACTCTAAGTAATAAATTATCAAATAACGCTGCCTCGCAAGATATTGAAGGTAAATTAAAAATTACGTCCAGTCTCAATTGTCATCAATTACAATAATATTTCGTTTACAGAGACGTCTAGCCCCCTACAAGCTGCATCGAAACTGGTACCAGTTCCAGAATCTTTAATGAGCCCAGACTTTCGTCCGCCATCTGGTCTTTCACGAGTACTGGCGAAAACTCCACCAAGTAAATTAACATCACCATGCCAGATTACGATGCCAAGTAAACCTCCGACCGATGGAGACGGAAAGGCTATTCCCATAATAAATACAGTGAATCCAATGGCGAAAACGAATCTTAGTTCTGTAAAAGCAAACGCACTTGTAAAAAGCAACTCGGCGAGCAATTGCAGTATTGGAAAGCCAAATATTGCTAAACCTGTTATTACGAACCTTAGTAATAAGTGTCCACATAGTGTGAAAATTAATAATTATGTACAAAGTAAAACATTGCCCGGAAGACGAAGCACAAAAAATTCACCAAATCTCGGTAGGAGTATACAAAGGCCGAAAAGTGCGAACGACAAAATTAAGAGCGGCGTATTGAAGAAAAGTGGAGATGGAGATGCAGGTAATGCTACTCAGAGTAGCGATGAAGACAGCGAAGTGTGTCAAGCCAAATTAGACAGTATTCGTAACAGAGCTATTCAAAGAAGACAAGAAGACAGTAATAAAGGTAAAAAGCTTAAAAAAAATAAATAAAATTCTTAAGGTACCGTAGCGATATTGTTCTTTATATTTTATTCCACTTCCAAAGCAGATCAAAATGACGCTGAGAAGGCAGCAATATGTATTCAAAGGATGTGGAGGGGCTACCATACTAGGAATCTTAATAAGAAAGCAACTAATGTCCTGAAAACAATTGAAATGATGAGGACAATTAAATATATACAGTATGATGATTACTCACTTATTATCTATACGTAAATTATTCAGAATGTTATATCATTAATTATACCTTTTAGGAAACTTTCTACCGACATGGAAGCTACTAGAACAGCTTTGGAGAGTGAACATAAGTTGCAGTTACTACAAATGCAAGCGATTAATGCATTATGGAAGAAAGTTGTCAGTCTGCAGCCTAGTGGTAATCGAGAGACTACAAGTAATGACAATGAGAACCTCGCACAAAATGTAGATGTTGTAACCAATTTAGCACAAACATGTAATTTGTTACATACACAGGTAAAATATCAGTCACATTTTTATAATTCACCTTCGTAATTTCAATTTAATGTGTTTAATAATGTCTATAAAACTGATATCCATTTAGGTTCAGCAATTACAAGACTCTATGTCAGAAATAAAACAATGCATGTCGAACATGCAATCAAAACAAAATTTAATCGATAACGCAGTCGCAACTCAAACTGAAATCTCTGCTGTTCACACACCAGCAGGCGAAGAAAATACGTTTCCTTACTCACGGGCGCACAGACCGCAGACATTACCGATTCATCAAACAATTCACGAAGGAAACGAGAACAAAAGTTTTGCATCTAACCTCATCGACAGCGTATTAAAAAAGGTCTCTCAGTCTACCGACACGACGGACGACGAAGTTAATACCGACATATTAAACTCTAATGAAAATCCTGAACTACTAAATTCGAACGATCATCCGGATATGTTCAAAAGTTGCGAAGAAATCGTGGAATCTGATTTCAAAGACGTAATGGAAAATGAGGCAAAAAATGAATACGATATAATCGATAATACCGTATTAAATGGCGACGTTTGTGAAGAAATGCTGTGTAAAGAGTTACACAATTTTATTGAAACAGAAATTACATCAGAAACTTGCCAAGATCTTGATAAAGAAGATAATTCCGATGAAGTTGAGAGAGAACAAGTTTAAGTTGGGAAAATATGCAGACAAGAATAACAAAACAGAATGAAGGTGCAAAGTCATAAGCTTAACGTAGAAGTACTGAAAACAGAATTGCGAATTACAGCGAACAGTGTTCAACGCACGAGTAAAAACAATACATCTAACTAAAAATGCTCACTGTACATAAGTTGAAAAATAGCTTTTATCATATCGAGACAACAAAGTTTCATGATTTTAGTCGCACAATATTTCCTACAGTTTGTAACGAAGATGAAGTAGATACTTTCATTGAAGGTTAAAAAAAACGTAGCACAAGATAAATCAAAAAGTGAAGAAAAACCAGTTACATAATTTAAAAAAATCACATCGTTAAACGATTTTACCATATATCGTCATACATCGTGGTCATTGAAGCAATTTTGAAAATTTTCCGTCCACATATCTGGCTCCTAAAAATTTCATCGATGTACAAAGTGTGTATTAATAACGGTGTATATCGTAAAGGAAACTTTGCTCCTTCTTAAAAACGAAAAATGTTATTGTACAGGATGAACTATACGCTCGACACCGTAAATTCCAATGTCGTTCGTCGGTTTTCAGATTGAAATAGCTGTAGAGTCATAGAAGAGAATTTTGATATATATGAAATCATTCCTTATAAGTGGCAGAAGAATGTTCGGTTTTGCTAAGATGTTGCCTGAAATAACATTATATAGGTAATTATTATTTTTATTTTCTTATTTATTTATTTATTTACTGAGGAAGTGTAAAATCTAGGGAAAGTTGATATTGCTGGAAATGGTAGTCAATAAATGGAGACAGTTTTTTATCTAGTCACTGCGATAACTCTTATGCTTGTAACTGCTGTAGATATTAATTGAAACTTGTTACATAGGTATACAGTGTTATTAAAACAAAGAAACATAAAAGCCCTTCAACGAAAAAAAATAATTAAATTGTTGAAAAGAAGTGGGAGTTTTTAATTGTAAAAAAAAATTGCATTTAGTGACCCTTCAATATGTGTGTAAACTTTATAACTTCGTTTTTATTTACAGTACTTAGATATAAAAAGAACTCTTGTTCTAAAGAATACTCCTATAATGCAACAAACTATATGTGAGCTCCTACTAAAATAATACCACAACATTTTATGTGACATGTTTCTATCATGTATCATATAAAACACATTTTAAAACTCAGAATTGTTAAAGAACTTGATATAAGTGTTCAATAAATAAGTTGCAAACACTGATTATTTAGTTACAATACTATCTGTTATTATATAATTGGCGGATTCTGGTTTTTCTTAATAAAAATTAATAATCAGCCATGGAGTAAGAACATCTCCTGTACCATAATTTCCTCTCATACCCCAATCGTGGGCTGGTAAAATGTGATACACTTTCTTTACCTTAGTTGGTACATCCTGCACTGCAGACACATGAGATAATACCAGTATAACACCCATTCCTTTTAATACTTTACTACAAACTACATTCGTTTGACCTAACTGTATATTAATGGAAACAGTAATAACAAATTTATATCTGTTACTATTTCGTCAACCCCGTATTTATCATGTTTAACAATATCCCTGAGGATCTAATAATTTGAAATTTTCATTTTTAAATTGTGATGAGACATATATGTTTGTGTCAAACCCAAATGAAGAAAATTTCAAGTAACAGTAATAAGATGAATACTATGTTAATACAGCAGTTCTACTCCAAAACGATTTTAACCCTGTTGAATTACCTTTCCCTGATTCAACATCTATATCCAAAAAAAATAACTGCACTGTCTTCAACAGTATGAGTTTTATCACTTACCAAATTTTTAATGCTATCATCTCATTTCAAATAATTTTTCATAATTTTGTTTGCTTGTTCAACTTACTGAGGTATGTAAATCATAATATTTGCAGTGCTGCCCTCTTAACATATGCGTAGCATTTAAATTTTAAGGGGTAGAAATAATAATTCGCATTTAACGTAACAGTTTCTTACAATTTCAGATGACAGATTTTATACATAGTATATCATACGTTACTAAGGATATTTCATTAATATGACATTTAAAAAAAAACTACCTTTATTTCCATTGCTTAGGAGTTTGCAAAATGAAGGTCCCACCGAGATTTGAACTCGGATCGCTGGATTCAGAGTCCAGAGTGCTAACCATTACACCATGGAACCTTCCATAAAATTTCTTTACTGATATTTTATTCGAAGTACAATATTTTTAACTAAAAACAATACCACATAATAATTATATAAACATTAATAACTTTATATTTCCGACTTCTATAATCTATTCGTTTCTATGACTATATATTTATACTTAAGTTAATAATGATAGGAGAAATGTAATTACACAGGTATTGATAAAAACATAAGACGCGCTATGTTTTTTTATATTGTTGTAATAAGTATATAACAATGAAGTTTTTGATAGTATAACATATAATGTGTATCGCTTCGCAATAATTTTTTTATACATTTATATGTGTCTGTACATATACACATATATACATACACATACACATATAGATATATATATTTATTTTGTATGATTAACTTATACCCTTAAATTTAATAAGAATTTTCTTTATAAATTATAGTAATATACAAACAAGCGAATCAGATTATCAGTACACAGATCATGTATAATCAAAATTCTAAAAGCTTATCTAACACTAGAGTGTATTACACAATATCACTATTAGAACTTTTACACTTTGATATCCGTTTAGAAACAGTGTTCATACGCTTTTTCTTTCAAAATAAATTTTTGTACTTGTAACACCAATTTTATAAGTAATGATTTTATATATGTGTACCATATGTAAAGAAGCAATTCATGTTTAAACGAACAATGCACGAATTGACAATATACTGTTCACATTAAAGCATTGTTCATATTATTTGAGCAATACAAATTTACAATTTATAGTGACTACGTGATGATAACACATAAAACTGTGTGCAGAAGACTATCTCATTATTTTCTGTTTTATTCTGTCTCGTTTATTTTACGTTTATGCAATTTTGGCAAATAGACTCAATTATTTTAATAATTTTCATTTCTAGTAATTGAATAATATGTAACCAATATAAAGTAATGTTGTCAAAGGGAGTGGTTATATATTGTACAAATACAACCCCAAATAGAAATGCTGTTTCTTCTAAAGCCAAGTTAGATAAAAGTGCATGTTTATTGGCTTAATAAAAAAAGAGTAAACGTTCCTGAGCACTTCCAGGTAATAGTCTCCAACCACGCTTAATATTCAAATATTGCACAATTGCTCGTGCACAAATCAGAATTCCTGAAATTTAAATATTTCAAATTAATAAAATTGCATCGATACTTATTAATCATTGCTATTTATACTGCATGAAAGATACAAACCAAATCCCATTATTAACCACCACAGCCATGAATTTTCACGTGATGCCAGGTCAGTGGAATGTTTAACGATCAGTGTCCATTTTGTCAAAGACAAGCCAAAACCAGACAATGCTCCATATCGAGATGCAATTGTATGACAGAAACACATCAAAAGTAAAAATCCAATCCAATTGAATAAAAATGCGACTGCAAAAATAAGTAACAAATTCATTTAAATCAATGATCAATGAAATACATAACTATTACAACTTACCCAAAAATGCTGTGAAGAACATGAAATCGGTACCAAGTAAGCCACTCTCTGGATCCCCTTCTGCAGCTTCAGTGTCTATAGCAAGGATTGTTAATGGTTGCTGTGGAGCTCTAATATTACCAGGCTATGAAACAAGATTAATAAAATACTTAATTTTTCAAACTATTCTTATTGTCATTAATCTCTGAAACATATATGTCTGAATTAAATTACCATGTGTATTTGAGGATGAGGTTCTCCTTGCAAAGTCTTTTCACGTTGTACTTCTTCATAACTGGGCAATTTAGTAACTACTTCATAAGGGGGTGGAGCTGAAAAATCTGCCTTAGGAGGTGGTATATCTTCTTCAGCCTAGAATAAAAATCACATAAATACCAATAAATCTATTATATAATATAACAATTCTTTGTCATACCATTCTACTTTCAATTGAAGTTTGTGCTGCAGCAATACTTCCCGAATGACTCATTAAACCATTTTGCATAACAGGTAATGAAACAGTTAAAGTAGGTATCTCACTTTGAGATGATGGTTCTCCGTCTGAATCATTGTTTGTTTGTGAACGCTAAAATCAAATAACAATTAGTTGTATTTAAGATTGTGACTGATAAAAGTACCTAACTAATCACTATTTAGCCAAAATGCATTCATTTTCTATCAGTCATCAAACAAAAATCATGTTTCAGTGCTTATAGCATTGAAGTGATTGAAACAATGTCATAAAGTAAAACAATGTTTTATTTGATTTTCAATATCAGACTACGTTTAAAAAAACAATTAACAATCGGCTAAAACAATGTTTTCTTGGCTCTTGCTTGTCATGCATGTGCAAGATTTACGTTAAAGTACGTGGCAATATTATTTTATATGTGTAAAACGTATTCGTCAAACGAAAGATACTTTTGGCACTCGTCAACGGATTGTAAAATAATCAGTACAGTCTTCGAAACATTACACATAATAATGATACATCGTGATGCGCATTGTTTGCAAAACATACCATATTGTAACGGATCATATTAATCATGCTCGATGAAATTTCAATGAAGCTCGTCTAAGTAATCCTAGTTTCGTGTAAGAAATGAAAAATACTGTTTTTGTACAATTTGCTGCTTTCTAAGACAGCAAAAGTTCTTACAATCGATGGCTGACAGCTGGCTAAGCTGCACCGTGACTGTAGATCTCTTTATACTACCACGTCTAACGTTCTTCTTACTTGTACCAATTCAAATTTGTCATCAATTATTATCAATATTAATGGACTTTTCTGTGCAAAATACAAGGTAAAATTGTAAATTAAATTAATTATAAAGAGTATTAAAATACATGAATTAAGCGTAAAACCAAAGTTCAATTTAAAGCTATTATTAAACTGATGTATAGATTTATATATATATAAACGAGTACAGATTGTTTATGGTATTTTATATGCCATATTTTTTATTCAATTTCCTTTAAATTCAGCATAATGAAAAAATCGAATTAGGAGTTGAATGTTGATTGGTCGCTAGCGAAGCAACGTTGAAAATCAAGTTATACATCGACGGTCAAAATTATTGTCCACCCCACTGCGACCACCTGCAGAGTCATTAGCCAAAATAAGAATTCTACCTGATAGTATGTTATTCTATGGCCGCTTCGTAGCGGCAACGATTAACTGAGGTATTTATTATTTAATTCGATATTTTAATATATTCCATACGTACATCTTTTCATGTGCTTTTCCGTTCACACTTCCAACGACGACACACGGCAACACATACTACATTATACATACATGTATAAATTACACTGCGTGATGTGTATAAGGATATATAAATATTATATCACTGTTATTAAAAGAAAGGTACGACGTATTACATTGTCAATAGCCAGAACAGATAAATTAAGTAACATTCATAGCTAACAATAATTTTAAGGAGATTCTCTTTTTTTTTATTCGTAAGTTTAAACATGAAATGATATTTTCAATGCAATTTTGAATATTTTCAAAATAGACAGTAGGAATTTTATATTCTGTTCTTACTTAATTTTTATGCCTCATCCTAAAATGTGCATCATTTTTCTTGGACATATTAAAGTTTACGAATCTGTGTGTTCAGATTAATATTAGGAAAGGGCGGTATAGAATATTCAAGACATCCATATATAATACTTGAAATAATAACTATACGAATCAGGGCATGAAATTATTATTCGATCGTTTTTCGAGATTACTTCCTGACAGAAATAAGAGATATGAAGTAACTGAACAAAGAAATAAAAAACACTATAGACAAGGTGCATGCTGGTTAAAAGAGGGAATATTATGTTTGTAAACACTAATTTATGTAATCGAACGAATGAAATAAATGCGCGCCAATAAATTAATTGTAGTTGCTATCGAATACGAGCTTGGCGCTGGGAATCGACCATTAAATGTGATGATCTAAGAAAGAACTCTCGATTCAACATGTGACTCCATTTGGTTGGAGTGGGGTGGACAACAATTTTGACCGCCGATGTAGGACGGGAGTTTAACGAACCGGAATCTTTCCAACTACCGGAAGCGTAAGATTAAACATTAACATTACATTGATATTAAAATTCGTATAAGGTATATTAAACTTTATTCAATTAATTATTAAACATAGATATTTACGAGTCTTGCTTTTCCGAATAAAAATGTAAACGATAAAAAGGTTCAGTCGCTTGCCGATCGTGAAACAAGTGAGAGGTTTTTTTATCATGTCGGAGGTATTCAAACTGGGTGATCTAGTATGGTGTGTATTTGTAACGTGTTGATCATGAAATGTTTGTAATAAAATCAGTGAAATGAGTATGCCAGTGATTACTAATCGTTGTCTTTATGGATTTCAGGGCGAAGATGAAGGGATTTTCGCCTTGGCCTGGCCGGGTAAGTGCCAGTCGACTGCTAACGGTTCCGCGTTAACTACACTTTACTTGACCATACGCGCCACGGAGTCAAATGCGGCCATCATATTTGGCGGGAACGTGCCAAGTGTTATTTTGGAGTTTCTTTTTCCAATTTCATGTTTCAATATCGCGAACAAATACATTTTCTACACCCGTCGACGCCACTGTTGGCCCGCATTGCATATCTCCCGCCACGCCCGACCTTCGAATTCAAATTGGCGCGCAGGCAACGAAAATATAACCTAAATTACACCCTGCGATTTCATAACTTTTGCCACGGTGTTCCGAAACGGAGCGGAACTTTCATGTTTACATTACATATTTTTAGCCGTTCGCCAAACCATCGAATATTTCTTTATTACTTCTTTAAGAACAAACAAATAGAATTTCCGATGTATCAGGATTTATAAACGAAGTAGACGTTGAATATAATTTGCGCGGTAACTACGATTTGCTCTCGATGCAGAAAAGTTTCGTTTGAATAATACGTATGATTTAAATGGAATCTTTTTTATCGCAATTTATTTAGCATGCCCTTTCATTTTTATATGGTTAATCATTTATAAAATGAAAATATTAAGTCTGATTTGCACTAGTAATGTGTGAGGATGCATTTTAGGCAAAATAGATGTTACATTCATACATTCTATGAGGGGAAATTATTAGCTTCATTTTGAAGGAAATAGTTTAAGTCAAGTTGTTTGGAGTAAAGATTAAATTATACCATATCTATTTGCAGTGATATAATTGTAATGCATTATAAAATTTAAATGATTTGCCATATTATATTTCTCCAAGATATTATATTGTCTTGTTTAATTAGTTTTATTAGAAGAATATATTCAGAAATAAAATATATTAATTTTCCCATGGCATCTTAAGGTGTCAAATCCTTCAAAGGACTTAAAGAAACCAATGAATACTAAGAAGGGGCCAGTTCAATGTATATTCTTCTTTGGAACAAATAATTAGTAAGTTTCAATGAAGTATTTAATTTTCACGTTTGTTTGCTTGTCAACTTTTGAAACTTAATGTAATATTTCTTATAGCGCATGGATAGAGGAGTCCAATATAAAGCCATATCTTAAATATAAAGATACACTTGTTAAATCTAGTAAATCTGGTGCATTTAAAGATGCAGTTGAAGCAATAGAAGAGTTTATTGCTAATGGAGAGGTAAGTTATATGATAAATGTAGTTAATACTTTTTATATACATACACATAAATATCATCACAGTTGACATTCAAAAATAAAGTTTTATGTATGATACATTGTTGTTTTTATTTGTGATATAGTCTTGCTATGTATCAACATTGTTTGCTTTAGGTGTTTGAGGATGGCTTAGACCCTGACTCCTTATTTGACAGACTCAAAGAAGGAAGTTTGTCTAAGGAGAAGACTGTAGTAAAAACTCCTAAGCCTCGTAAGGTTAGGTTCATAAAATAAAATACGATTTTGTGATTGTATATAGAAGAATGAATTAATGTTATTCTTGATATATCTGTGTTCTATGTACAGTATAAAATAACTATGAAATTGTTCGTTCAGGAAACACCAAAAACTAAACGATTGGATACCGGTGGAAGTGATGCTCGCCGTCCAGCCAAAAAGCAGCGCAGGGAATCAAGTACAAGTAACAGTAACAGGGTTGGCAGCCTTAGTCCTGCATTGAACCATTCAACTCCTCTCAGAAAGTCAGGATCAACACTCCTTAATAGGCCTGCAAATATTGCCAGACCTGTAAGTACATTTCATATATTAGTATTTTAGAATATTAGTAAGTACAAAAAGAAACAAATTTTTTTATTTCTTATGTAAAATAAAAGTAAAGTGATTACGTTTGAATTATTGATCACAAAATATTTTTCGCGACTACAATTTCTTTGTGTTCGTAGTAAACTTTTTTCTTAACAAATTTCCCTCAACATTTTTCTAACTCTCTAAGTAAATAAATAAGTAGATTATGGCATCTTTTTATACACGACATTTTCTCAGTTATAACATTTATTTTAATTATTGTAAATTTGCTATATATGCCGTTTACTATAAATAGATTGTTCTGAGAAAGAAATGTTAACCATTCATTACATTATTTATTGTCATCAGAAATATACATTTACATATGTATACACATTTCAAAAACAAAGTTTCATTTAAATATGTGTTTACAAAATATATTTAGCAGTACTTTTGAGATCAAGTATTAAATTACAGTAAAGTATCTTTTATTTATTAAGGGTATCAATGTGTACCCTGTCTATTGAACTTAGTATTTTGGATAAATAAAATTTAGTTCTTAAAAAAACACTTTTGCTTTAATTTTTGGTACGTTTAAAACAAATTATAAAACTCTTTCAATCTTTTTTTTTTCTTTCATTAACAAAGTGTTAACATTTTATATGTTCAAAAAATCATTAGTTGAATTCATTTTGTATGTGTCACACCTTAATCATAATGCCAGAAAGTGCAAATTAACATATTAAAAAAAAAATAGTCATGACTTCATTTTTTGTTTTCTCAAACCTTATACAATAATTTTATATTCATTATTGTTAGAATATTTTTCTTTCTCTTTTGTTATATGGAATTTGAAAATTAAGCCAGATTTATCAGAAGTTCTATTGTTAATACCTTACTACCTTGCACGGCAGGTGACACCGCCTTTAGATGTGGAAACATTATCGCAAACCCTTAAAGAGAAAAACATCCTTCCGTCGACCTTGAAATTTGGGTTCCTCGGTTTGGGTATCATGGGTAGCGGCATCGTAAAAAACCTGATCAACAGTGGACACAGCGTAATTGTCTGGAATCGAACACAAGAGAAGGTATGTGGGATTCATTTGTTTATGATATAATACGACGGGCATACGGTGATTATGTACGACTACGTTACGATGGTATCCGTACAAAGGATACTGTCGTCCATTCATAACTACCGATGAAGGTCACGAAAAATTACTATCTTGCGTGTATCAATAACGCTCATTAATATTTTTGTTTTAAGTCCAAATTTTCGTATTCAATTTACTAAATTAATTTTCATATTATTTTCATTTTGACATGTTCATTAACAAATCGAATAGAAATAACTTACAAACGAAAGTAAACAATATTAATTCTATTACTCAAGTCAATACAACATATTTATAAAAAATTTGATTATATAAGAAAAATAACGGTAACTGTGATTTCAAAGATTTCTCACGTATCTCCATATGAAAGGAATTGAAACTCTATTTAGTGGAAAATGTTTTACACGCGCAACCACCTTCGTTAGAATCTTGGTGCTGCACTGTCAGCAAGTCTGGCATCGCCGCGTTTCGTTTCTTCAGTAACGTGTTCCGTCCTCCATGAACGCGGGACTAGCGACGCACGGAATCCTTTTACCTCCATTCTTCGAACAAATGTCTTTTGTCCACACTCCTTTTGGACAAACTCGTTGGAAGGGTGAGGGGTGACAAAAGAAAAGCGGTTTAGTAAACAACCTCGTTTAATAATTGTCCTGCAAATTGAGCATACTGTTCAAATGACCCTATCGGATATTGTAATTGAACGTTGGGATGGTAACTGGATGGTAGATCGCTTGTCGGGCCGAAGAGTGAAAAAGTCCTGCAGGGACACGCGGGACATTTGAATTGTAAAATAATTCAGCGACTCGCGGGGCCCTGACCGAACGTCTTTGACGCGATGGGAAGGGAGATATGTATCTGTCCGGAGGTTTCGGGACTTAGTCTTTTTCCGCTTCGCGGTCAGAAAATCCGAGAGTCATAATTTTTCCGTTTCGGCGTGAGATTTTCAGGGTTCAGGAATAAGAATGGAAGAGTAGTGCTCTGTATATACAAAGGGGAAATGGGTTCGATTTTTCGTAACGATACAAACAATATTTCTACAAAAATAAATACATACGTAAATACGGTCGCTCGAGAAAATATTTAAATAAACTGGAGTAAATGAATATTATTTTTATATAAAAAAAAGAAGGCTTTAATTTATTAAACATGTATTTAAACCAGTCTCCGCACCGCTTAATTTGCCGGTCACTTCGTGCTGCACATTAAAAGCAGAATTTTCAAATAAAAACTAATCTTGTAAAGAATTACTATTTTTCTGTAACAAATATTACAATTAAACATTTTTATCTACTTCGAAAGCACTATCATAGCTATCACGTGTCACGTGAGAACAACTTCTGACCAGAAGACACGAAAACTATGAAAAAAGTTCTAATTAATATGTTCCCTATTTGACCTTGTTTTCAAGTTACACACGTTTTCATAATCGGTTAATATACAATTTCTTACCTTTGGAGGAAGTAGTAGCTCAAAATGGCTACCTTTGAGTATAAATCAAACTTGTGATACAACTGGGTGGGGGTGGTTACCCATGAAAAGAATAAAACAAAACTATAGAATACATTTTTTTTTGTACAAAAGAAAACCTGAAAATTAATTAAGTCCCATGTTTAGTTATTTTTGTAAAAATGAATCTTTACAAAAATGTTATTCTAGATGCAAATTTGACATTTTTTATTTACACCCCATTCACAGTTACTGTTTCGGTTTGTTATTTTAAATTTCTACACCACAAAAATGACTAGAACTTAAGAACAAGGTCAAACAGAGTACCCGCGAGTATAAACTTTTCTCCTTGTTTTTGTTGTCTTCTGCTGACCGATGAAGTGGCTTTCATATGTTATTACACACCCTGTATATGTTCTTCAGTAACTATAAGACTGCGGATACATACGCAAATATAGATTTACATGGATTAATTCAGTAAAACTGGAATCAAATAAAAATTTTATTATTCTGCTAAGATTATTATAATACTTCAAATAAAATGAATAATCGTTATTAATAGACTGTCGATGTTCATGCAAAATCACGTAAATTCATTTATCAACTAAATTAAACTTTATATGTCTTTTTATAACTTTATATTGTTTATTAACCGATTCATTGTATTAGAAGCAAATTAAAATCATTAAATATTACTAATTGCAATTCATCAAATTCTCCATATGCATATACGTGGTGTCCTAGATATACATCAAAATATTTTGAGGGATGCTGGAACGTAGAGTTACGTATCATATGTACAATAATAAATAATTATAATATATGAATTCCTCAGTCTACTTACGTAACGTTTGTTTATCATACTGAATTCTATACAGTTACGCTATAAACGCCTGAAATCTGCGATCTATTAACAACATAAGATAAGTTTCCAGTGTAAACTTGTTTTTTTCCTTACAAATACTTTCATGAGCGACTGTATATTTTTACAAACTTTTCGTTTGACTCGCATTCATCGCTAGTAGATCTAAAAGAACGCGGAAAAGTACAAACTACATAGGTATACGGGAAGTGTTCGGAACGCCGTGACTAGTCGCCATGTTCGGTACTAAGGTGCGTATTCACCGGCAAACAGATCGTGAGCAATGTTCGCAAGAAATGCTGCGCAAGAAGTACGCAAACTTTTTATAACCACGACACGTCAGATAACTATAGATTCGTGTACTGTTTGCGGGATCACCAGTGAAGACGCGCCTATAGTGGAATTTCAGGCCACCCGGGCAAAAAACTGTTACGCACGGTTCGTTCGAGCAACCTAAACGAAACAGAATGTGTATAGTGCACACGCGTACCCACGCGGTTGTTTTTCGTCTCGCTAGCACGCGACGACGTTAACACGTTTCGCCACTGGAGCCCGCGTATAGGTGACGCCGCCGATTTCTCACGAGACTTAGATCGGTTACACGTGCGTGACGGTTACAATTTCACGGTTTGCATTAACAAAACCGATCGAAGTCAGTGTGCCTCGTTAATTAAAAGCGAAACGTGCATATCGGAATATTCACCCACTTGTTCTGTCCATTTATCATCCCTTTCTTATACAGGGTGTCTAAAAAAAATCGAGACCAAACATACGTGTTAGTGAGGTAGAGTTAGGTAAAAAAAAGTTCATATACGCTTATGCACAAAAATACTTTATTGAAAAGTTGATCGAAATGTTCGAAATTGCCTTCTTCCATTCGTCGAACTATTTCGAATAATCCTACTGTATGTATTAGAAATGGTAATAAATGCATTTTGAATGCAATCCCAAAGTTGGTCTTCCGTTGCTATCATATTTTTTTCATATATATATATACCCCCCCCCCCAATAAAGTATTTGCGGACATAAATTTACATGAACATTTTTCTCTTCATTTACTTGGGCCCATTAACACGCGCTTGTTAACTTTTTCGGAAAAGTATAATTCTTTTTAAAAGTTTGTAAAAGAAGTTTGTCAAATTAAAATCTTTTTTAAAGTTTAACTATGGGTTCAAGTGACCAGTAAGATAAAAAAGGTTGAAAAACACTGGTCTAAAGAATCTTCCTAAACACAGTCTGAGATCGGTTTCATTTCTGAGGGCCCTCACGCGGCTCTCTTGCGTCCCCGTTTTCCGAGGGATGATAAAGTTTTATCTCTCCCGGAGTCGCCGCGACGATCCAAGAATAACGTCAGCACTCGTTGCACGCGTTAAAGGTTGGTTTATATGTACTATCCGTTCAGGCACGAAACGGTCACGGAGTCCGTTCCGTTCAGACGAATATTCTTTAATGCATTTGGAATATGCGTGTTTTGTCAGGGATGTGGCGGGTATATACCCGAAATTACGGGTCGAGACAGATCGGAAAAACTCGGGTGAGATCGCGATGTTCCGGACTACAGAGAACTAGCTATCTTTCCCTCTCGGACGCTCGAACCGATCGTGTCCGATTTCAGCCGAGCCGACCCGAAGTCTGACTACTCGTTCATGCTTGTAGTTCCGGAGATGGCCAAATTCATTAGAATTTTGAATGACGAATAAAAGATAAAAAAAGTGTTTTGATATGTTTAACACTTTAAGTGCACAGATCTTAAAAGTTCTTATAGAAGTGCACATGGGGGACAAGTGACCCCAAGTGACTCCTAAACTGTGGACTACTCGAAAAGTTGTAGAAGCATTTTTTGAAGTTTAAGATATCTACTTTCGGGTAGAATAGTTGTGATTAACAAAAAAAATTGAAATAATATAAAAAGGGTTTAAAGTAGTGAGGATGTTTTTAAAAAATCGAGGTACGGGTCAAACTTGATTAAACATGAAAATTCCAACTTTTATAATAAAATAATATTTCTTCCTGAATGAGTGGACACTTGGCAAACAATCATTTAATCTCATTTACTGTTTAAAGGACAGGATGACGATCTTAGATACTGTTGCTTTTCATTATATATTATTCGAATAAAATTATGCCCAACTCGGTTATGTCTCAGTACTAGAGTACCTACGTATGAATCTTTTCGTTCCGGCTCGAAACTTGGGTTCTCGCGACTCGGTACGATCTGCGCATCCCTAAAGTGTTTACACGTACCGTATCGTACAGACATGCACGGGAATCATTGGTCCGGAATCCAACATTCTCGCGAAGAATGTTTTGTCGGGATACGGAACGTGTCGATGCTGACAGAATGCAGTTTTTCTCGTGGACTTGTAGCCACCTTGAAAGTTATCCAGTATACTCGCGATAACTGCCTTCTAAATAAATATCCGTTAGAAATGCACTCTCTGTCGCCTTCTGTAGCCAATAACACTGTTTAACACGTAAAATATCTAGGGAAAAAATTAAAATTTATTGAATGCGTGCTATTGACTCTCGATAATTACCCGTCCCTAGAACTGGCCGCCTCTGGAGCCCCAAATACGGGTAATTATCGCGAGTTTACTGAATGCTGTTTTTTTTAAATGGAATTTTCTATTCTTCCTAAAAGAATATTGAAATCACGCACAGGCAT